AGAAGAAACGTATGTTTTCTCATTTGCAAAAGGAACTCATTATTATTATTTTTACGATTTATACTTTACGATGAATTAAAATCAAGACTGAATTGTTCATTTCATTACTAAATGCTAGTAACTTTATCTGTTACCTTGATAAGGCTGGACTATGTCAACTCCTAGCTTAGTGATAGGGAGTGAAGTGATAGAATATGTTGACCACTTCACCTATTTGGGAAGTTTTATCAGCACCAACGGACTGATTGGCGACGAAATCTCAGCGCGGATCCAAAAAGCTCAAGCTGCTTTCGCTGACTTACACCATCTCTGGCGTAGGCGTGACATCCGGCTATCAACCAAGGGACGTGTGTACTGCTCAGCAGTTCGCTCCATCCTTCTCTATGGCTCTGAAACATGGCCAATACGAGTTGAAGACATGAAAAGGTTGACTGCTTTCGATCATAGATGTCTACGATCTCTTTCTCACGTTAGGTGGTTTAACAAGGTAAGTAATGTTGACGTTAGGCGTAGAGTGTTGGGCAAAGAGGGAAAATCAATCGACGAGGCTATAAAGTTACATAGACTAAGATGGCTAGGTTACGTGCTGCGCATGCCTAACCACCGCCTCCCCCGACGGGCGTTGCTAGCTGATATAGGTGGTGCAGGCTGGAAAAGAGCCAGTGGTGGCCAAACAAAAACATGGCATCAATCCATGAAATCCTTGACAGTTAAACTGAGTCAGGTAGGGAGATGCAGACTTCCGGGTTGGGGCCCTCGGGACTCTAAGAATCAATGACTGGAGACAATAGGTGGCATGGCTCAAAATCGTTGTCAATGGCGCAGATGTATTCAGTCTCTGTAATCTTTCATATTCTTTTTTACCATTACCTATTCTGTTTCGCTCTTATACTTGTCAAACTCTATTGATTCTCTTCACTCATCTTCTTGTCTACCTCTGTGTGCTATTTGGAACGTGGCAACTCGAACTGCTGCACTTCGGTGACAAGTTCTATGTTGAATCCAGACAGACAGACAGACCTTGATAAGGAAATTCATCGTTTACTTTTGAGTTTCAGGAAATCCCCTTCCACAACAGAACATGAGATTTCCTGAAATCAATTTCACCTACAAGATATTGGATACATTAGAGGATTACTAGAATAAACCTTGACTAAAGCAGAGTAGTTGTCACAAAATTCCTTCACGCATCTTTGTAAACCTGAGATTTCATCAAAATGTCTAAACTAAATAAATGAAAATATGAACGTGATTTGAAAAATGCAATACATCATATAAAATTCTCGGTCTAAATTGTCCCTAGTGATTTACAAACAAAACATACAATTCGGATGAGCGAACAGACAACAGCAGATAGACACATTGTCGTTCACAAGGGGCTCAGGCATCAAAATACGAGGTTTTACCACTATTCAATAGCATCCACTAGTATTTAAAACAATACTTAAAATTAATAAAGAGAAAATTGCAATTTAACTGGCAGAGGTAATTATGAAGCAATAAAATAACGTGGTGAAGACAGGCAGAAAAGAAAGTAGGTGGGTACAAAGATATAAAAAGCGACTGAGTACAATTTATGGTACCTCATTTCTGTTCACTCTTCGGTGTTCACAGTAAAGCAACTTTTCGTTTACAACATATTATTATTGTTTTTATTAAGAAAGAAACTAATGGAAATAATTCTTTATTTACAGCGTAAAACAAGACAGTTTCAAATCTTTTCAAATTTCCTGCTATTCCACTGTTAAACTGCTCTGGGATCCGATGAAGAACTTTCAACCTGAATGAAATGGGGACTGAAAGATTCCACTCCCCCGCTAACCTTTTAATATATCCCCCATAATCAAGAGCCATACTTCAGGATCTTCTTACCGTAGAACATTTTTTTATTCCTCTAGGTAACCAGTGGGACATAAGGTTTTAAGCTTTGAAGTTTCAGTAGCAGTGGTGTTCTTTTTTAGGAGTGAGGTCCCCAACCTTCATTTTCTATCGGGTTTACTACCAGATAAATGAGGTTTTGGAGTGTGTCAGTCTGGAATTGAATACAGGTCATGTGAGTGGTTGGTGAACTATTGAACTATAGACGAATAGCAGATGATATATGATGAAGAATAAAAGATTTAAGAAAAGTGAATTCCTGCGAATTAACAAAAAGGAAAGTCACACAAAGATCATGAAAACACAGTGGAAGAAAGGAAATCCGAAAGGTAAGGATGATAGAAATCAATTAATAATGATAATAATTCAATTAAACCTCGAAATAGCTGTGGAAATCATACAATTATTAGACATGCTACTAACGACTTATGAGGTAGAAAACACTAAAGCTCTCATTTTTCATTCCTAATTAGCTTTCTAAATAGTATCAGCACAGGCTTACAAATACAGAAACAGCTGAAACACTATGCTGAACACAAAATGAGCCGTATGCCCACAAAGGAAAGTATTAAATTTAGCGAAAAAGAGGCACCAATGAGCAGTGAGACATGTGCTACTGACAAGATTTATCAGTGATAATAAAGAGACATTCATCGGCACAAAAATATCAAACAGCAGAGAGGGAGAGAGATTTGATGTCAAAGAGAGAAAATCAACCAGTATTGGGGCGAACCATGGGAGACATGAAAAGAAGACGAAGAAACACAATACGAACATGGAATATATTTGCAAATGCTTTCAATATGTGGGATACATAATTCCCCTGTGTGTATGTGTATATCGAATTGCAAATAAACATTCCGTTACCGACAATTCTTGTGTTCTGCAGTAAATATATATCCCTTCTTCGGCTAAATATTTCAAAACCGGTAATAATATAACACAGCTATATAAGTCAAATAATGTACGTCTATATGCAAATGAATGTGTTTGTAGGCGTTCTTTCCAATAATGGCGGTGAAATTAAAACGTTCCATACAATTGATTCTTATATTTGTATATCGACAGAAAGTCGCCAAAAATTTGCCGTTCATTTTACAACAGAATAAAACGAAATGCCGTTTTCGCTGAAACATTATTATATATTGATTAGCCGACTAAAGTAAATGGTCATGCATTGCTATCTGACCAAATTTCATTCGACTGAGCGGCTTCTTTTTATCACAAAATTCTCTATTACGGCATAATTCATGAAGCAATATAGAAAAAATGAAAAGGACTGGTTAACTTATGTTTTTCTCCATATTTACGATGATGAAGTCAAGATCTTTTGCTTTCTACAGATCAAGAAAGTTATGAATAATATTCAAGCGATTAATGTCACGAACGGTATTTCACTTCTAGGCTGCTTCTAGGCGATGATTGATTGTTAATATTCCTCAAAGTTTTAGATAGACAAAGATTCATGCAAAATGTTTAGCGACGACAACGAAACCTTCAACTGTATTATTATTTATTATATTCTTTAATTCCTAGAGGATTATATGGTTTCAGCCGCGCGTTTCCAGAGCGTTCGGTTTTCTGCCAACTTTTTCACCCCGCTCCAAGTCTGCCCACATGCTTTCATCTCCTTTTCACATGACCTCCTCCAAGTCACCCTTGCAGTGACGACCAATTCGCCGTTACCCTTTCGGGCTCCACTGCAGGGCTTGTCTAGTGATGTCACTTGATGGTTTCCTCTGAGTATGGTCAGCCAATCCATTTCTTCCTGCCTATTTGTTTCACAATCGGTTCCTGCTGTGTTGGTTCGCTCATTGCCAGAGATCCCACCCTGTTGCTGATCTTTTCTGGCCGGCCATCTGATCTTGAGCGAAGACAGCTGTTAATGAGAGTGAAGTTTGTTTGAGATGCTCTTTATGACGCGCTGGCCAAGTCTCTGATCCGTATAGTGAGTAGCAATGACTTTACATCGGAGTTGAAAATCCGGATCTTACTTTTCATGCTGAGTGCTTTTGACCTCCACACAGACTTAAGAGTAACGAAAGCTTGTCTTGCTTTTCCGATTCTCGCTTTGGTATCCTCATCAGTTCCGTTCGCCTGTAGTTGAAACGATGCTTCCAAGGTCGGTGAGTAAAGGAGATTGTTTCTTTCAGGTTCCTCCCATTTATGCTGGCTGATTGTTGTCTGTGGTTGGCCAGGAATCTTCATCACCTCTGTTTTATCTATGTTCACGTGAAGTCCTATCTTTGATGCTTCTTCTGCCAACTTGTTACTTTTCACTTGCATATCTTCCAGTTTATGGGAAATCAGACATATATCATCGGCGAAATCCAGATCCTCCAAGTCTTTTGTGTCAGTCCATTTTATGCCAGTTCCCTCGTTGGTTGCCGTTGTCTGTCGCATTATCCAATCAATTGCAATCAGGAAGATCATTGGTGATAGTAGACAGCCTTGTCGCACTCCCGTCCTCACTTCGAAGGCCTCCGTAAGTTTCCCGTTGTGGATTACTTGGCATGCAGCATTGTCGTATAACTGTTGGATGAGATGTATAATTGTCGATGGGACCCCGTAGTAGCGAAGTAGTTTCCAAATGACCTCTCCATCGACGCTGTCGGAGGCCTTTTCAAAGTCGATGAAGTTGGGATAGAGAGGTGACTGCCATTCCAAGCCTTGTCCAATGATGATCCGTAGTGTGGTGATTTGATCAATACATGACTTGTTTCTCCTCAATCCAGCTTGTTCCGGTCGAAGTTTTTCATCCAGGGCTTGTTTACCTTCAACTGTAGTTTTGTGCAACCTCCCAGTATAAGAGATATTTTTACTGATTACTGTTGAAAAGAAAATGTCAGATTTCAGCTGACGACATTTTCTAGATCAGTTTTTGACACTGGACAACAGTGTTTGTGTTAGCAGCAGCAGCAGTATTTTTATTAGTTAAAAATTGATTTCTACAATTATCAAAATTAGATAACCATTAAGGACAAAGACAGAAGCTCGCTTACATCCTTTAACTGATTTACTTATTATTATTATTATTATTATTATTATTATTATTATTATTATTATTATTATATGTAAGCAAATGATAGGAGTGAAATTTGAAAAAAGAAAAACACAATTACCTAGAATGAGATTCAGGCATAACATCATCAAATACTACAAATACCATTGCACCAGCAGCAAAACCCAGAGCATAAGGTTGAAGTTTGCGGAAAAAGTGTACAGCTAAACAACCAATAAGTCCCGCACAAGGTTCGACTAGTCCAGACAATTGTCCATACCTAGTTTTAAAAAAGACATATGGGAAAGTAATATGCTACTAATATAAATACATACATACAATAAGTACATGAAGATCTGGTATACCTGAGAATTGCTTTTATGTACATTTGCGATCCTGTAAATACGAATAACGGTCATCAGCAACCTCTTAAAAGGTTAAGCTAAAATGAATGTTCTTACATAAGGACCGGTAATAAAAATCTTGCTTGATAAAAACAGAATGTGAAATTTCACTTACACTGGGAAGAGTCTACTTGAATGGATGAATTTTGAAAAGTGTGACGGCAGAATTCAGTCAACGGGAATTAAAGCAAAGGGTGCAGCTGATACTGTAACAACAGAAGGCAAGGGCCAGGCAACAGATCGTTTATTAAGGAAATCAACACGTATTTATATATATTTCATGTACATTATTATAGCTTATTCAAGCAGACAAACACAGTCTTCTGATTGGTTTCTCAGAAAGTTAAGCGAATCGTATTTGCCTACGTTAAGTCTGCTGTGATTGGTTGTTGAATTAGTCTTGTTCATATTTTCTCACGACCAATATTAGCAACATAGACATTGACGTAAATTATTGTCTACCAATTGGCCAGCAGTCTGCTGCGTCGGTGGCACAGTGGTTTGGACTCTCGCCGACCATGCATATGGTCCGGGGTTCGAGCCCACGCCGACGCGCACCTGATATCTACGGTCGGCCTGCGAAATTTGGGCTACCGATATCCACGCTGAAAATTTCATACTTATACCAAAAATACGGTGTGGAATCAAGCTGTAATCAAAAATAATAAATAAAATAATAATAAAAATAATACTACTCAGTTAGTTGCACAGACTAAATTAGATGCGGCAGGATCTGTATCTCAAAACCATTTTCATCGTAAAGATAAAAATCAAAAACACCAACTGTCATTTAAACAGTTTCACAGTTATTTCAGTTAACTTAGAGAGTCATACCCACAGTTCAAACTTTAAACTGCACAATTGACATAACTCAGAAAGCTGAAGGTCTCAGTTACCACTTCTATGCTTGCAAATGACTCCTGGTAGGGGATTTCATTCCATCACTTCAAAAATAAAACCCCGTACAATTAGTCAGTAAATGCGGCAGCAAACAGCTAAATTCAAATACGGCTAACATAAGCAAAGACAAAAGTGATTGTTACTCTTAGATTCTAGAGTCAGAATAGTAATATATCCATTTTACCGAGTATAAATTTTTCAGAGTGATTCTTAAACAGGAATCACTATCTATGAGTAGTTTCTCAAAATGAATCTTCTGTGAACAATTTACAAACAACGCTGATAATTTCAACACAAATTATAACTAGTATACAATTGGTGGATGGTGGCTAGCAGTGGAATCCAGGATGCGCATTTCGTCCTAATTGGGACTCGTCAGCTGGATGTACCTGCATTTCTCACTGAGTGATGATGATGTTCTCACCTAGGCTCGAACCCAGTACCCATAGTTTCAAACGCCAAAGCGTTATCCACTAGACCACTTGTATACTAATTAAACGCCCAGACATCGTCGAAGCATCTGCACAAGAAGCCGACATGTCAGTCTGAGACCGAGCACTTCGGTCCAATCAATCGACAGGAAAATCAAAAAAAAAAATTCAATTCAATAATTAATATGACCCGTTGCACAAGAGGTGGCTCTCTTGGCCCAAGTCGTCTAGTGGATAACGCTTTGGCGTTTGAAACTATGGGTACTGGGTTCGAGCCTCAGTGGGAACATCATCATCACTCAGTGAGAAATGCAGGTACATCCAGCTGACGAGTCCCAAATAGGACGAAATGCGCATCCTGGATTCCACTGCTAGCCACCATCCACCAATTGTATAAGAATCTACATTCATTAATGTCACACCGGGTGACTCATTACAGCTGTCAACAACCTAGAATATAATTCTGAATACACGAAAATGAATGAACCAAAAACGAACTATATTTATGAGTACAAATCATTAATGTGTGAATTGTATACTAATTGTATACTAATTAAACGCCCAGACATCGTCGAAGCATCTGCACAAGAAGCCGACATGTCAGTCTGAGACCGAGCACTTCGGTCCATTCAATCGACGGGAAAATCAAAAAAAAAATTCAATACAAATTATAACTGTTGAAAACCAAAAACAAAATGTCAAAAAACATTTTCAAAATGAAATTACCAAAAGCTTTTGAGAAATCCATAACCAGCAGAATACAAAGGTAAGCTGACAGCTAAACCCTCAGGGAAGTTTTGAATGGCTATCCCAATTGCAAGATTACTGATAGTCAGGAAAACAATAAAAAAAAGGTTGAAAGTAAAACATCATAATGAAGATTAATGCAATTACTTATCCATATCACTGAACACTTATTTTAAACTACGTTTTTTCAACCCCTTTGTACAACACAAAGTGATTTAGATATTATAGAGAAGATTTGTAGCTCAGGTGGATGATTTTGATGTGGTTTTGTTCTCTGAGCTGGATGGTTAGTTTGCGAAGCTTTCATCACCTTACTGGGTGACATCTTCAGCGCATACTTCAATTTGAAGTATGCGCTGAAGATGTCACCCAGTAAGGTGATGAAAGCTTCGCAAACTAACCATCCAGCTCAGAGAACAAAACCACATCAAAAACAAAGTGATTTTTTGAGATATCATCAATAGCATTTGCATAGGTAATTGAAATTCTCCACTGACATTATCTACAATGGTCTTATTGGCTACTTTAGATTCAGCCGATCACAAATTCATAAACAAATGTGACGTCTAAATTACCACAGTCCCCCAAAAATGATAGTACAAAGTCTAACACGAACTTGTGTTAAAGTTCACATAGGTGTGTATGTCTTCATTAAGACATTTTAAACATCACACCTAAATGGTCAGGATTCCATAACGAGTCCTGAAAATTATCAGATTTTCTTTACATTACTGTAGATTCTGATCAAGTTAGCGTTTCATCACTTCCACGTTCCTTTTATCTAACGTGAAAAAGCCAATTAGATAGGCTGTGACTGAGATCTTCTGACCACTTTTATTTCTGCAAGGAGGTAGGCTGCCAACTGGTTTAGGCAGTCAACTGTAAATGATATTTTTGGCTTGAGCATTGTTAACCGAGCTAATCTGACTTGCTGAAGCGACATTGTAGGAACACTTAGAGTATACCACAACGTATAATATACACATGAGTGTGTATTCAAGAGTAATGTTTTGTAGACAGAGAATACAACAACATCTTTTACAGATTGCACAAAGCATTAGCAGGTTACAATTTTGTTATGTTTATCACCTACCTGGCATGTGAAAAAGTAGCATGTGGATATTGACCAACTCCACCAAAAGCAATACCAACTGCCAACCCCTCTGGTATATTATGCACAGTAATTGCTATTAGCAGCAACCACAAACGCCGTGTCATTAACATTCTTTTCGGCTGTTTTCTGTTGTCTCCATCTTCTAGGGATTCAGGTGACTCGTAAGATCCATTCTGTGAAGTATCCCCGCGACGTAATCTGACATCAGATTCAGTATACTTATTCATCAAACTGTCAGTAGTTTTGTGCGATTCATCTGTAATTAGTCAGAAGTGGAAGAGAGAACAACTTCACTATTTAATGTGGATTTCGCTAAACACCTAGTCCAATTGGACAATTAACAAATAATTCACATGAAAACAAATGTGATTTATAATATATGTGATGCTTAAATAAATTATTTTTATAGACTTAAATACATATGACATTATATGGTTAGAAGAAAAGAAAGGAAAGAAAAAATAATGAAAACAATTAAGAAAAAATCCCCATTTAGACATTTAGAAAACAGAAAGATTGAGCGAAGAAATATTTACTTTTCAATTAGATCCGCATCTCTGGCTCTACTCTAATATATATAGCATTTTAATTACAATACAACAGTTTGCCAATCAAGTGGCACTGATATGTTTGTTAGCAATAATTAAACAGTGTCAATGGATTAATAGTTAACGAAGAAAATCAATGTAGATTTAAAAGGTAGAAATGGATAGAACAAATTAATTTTACAAGGATAACACGTAAATTAAAGATGAAGTGGTCAAAATAAATAAAATAAATAATTTAGACAAATATAATTTTATAGGTTTAGGGGGATGACGCAGTCCTGTTTATCCATTCTTGTGACGATGGCCACGGTAGAGAAAGTGGCTGTACAAATTTTTTCTGTACACATAGGCTTGGCTTCTTCAGATGAATGCCAATCGCCTCAGCCGTCTGTAGAAGACCAACTCGCAAAGCAAAATTAAGATAAGTTGGAATGCGATAAATAATTTTAAATGCTGTATTAACATCAATCTTATGCTCAGTATCAACGAGGTGGGCTAAAATAGAGCTAAGAATAGATCTTTTTTGTCTTTTACTTAACCACGTTGGATGATGTTTGGAAAAACGACGATGAACTTGCCTAATTGTACGCCCAATTAAATCATTTAAAAACCTTTGCAGAAAATCGCTTAATGCCATGCGAAAAATTATCACTTATGCAATCGTACTAAATGACGTTAACAGCTTAAACATTATCAAAAGTATCTACATGCCAAAGATTTACGCAAAACAATAATCTAATATTAGTTCATTCTTGTCCTTATATCTGTCGAGTGATGTTTAGATCCCATCAATGCATGTAAAAGAAGTGGTTCACGAATAGTACCTGTAGCCAAAAGATTTTGAGTCAGCACGTTACCAGTGGTGTATCACATCACTTGAATTCACTTACACAATATTGAGTTGGTCACAAACATGAGTTTTAAATTACTACGATCTCACAACAAACTCTGATTATTTTACATTTGAGAAATTATACGACTTCTGAAATAAGTTGTTAACATAGGTGTCTTCATTATTTTCCCCATATGGTTTGAAGTTTGTTTAGCGACAGGTTATGATCGCTAGCGCCAAAATTAAGTTTCTCCCTCTTTCCGGATTTAGGACAGATTAGCAAAAGAGACGATTGACATCAAACGCCATGACACTGAGTGGAAACTTGAATGGGTGTCCGAAGGTTATGTGGGAAGGACCATGTGAGGAGGAAATAAAAGTTTGTGAGCAGTCATAGAGCCAGTCAGAAGTGGTGGCGCAGAAAGGGGTATAGTGAAGACGTTCCGCTGAAGCCATATGCACCACTCATAATGAAAGGAACGAGTTAAAAAAAAACAGTTTAACGATAATTTGCAAATGTTCGGGATTTCATAGTGTATAAGGTATCCTAATTCCCTTTATTTTAAATTTTGCTTTGATAAGCATTGATATCATCCCAACAACCAATCAAAACCAAAAGCCTACCGTTTCACTTGTTGAAATTCGAAGACATGTAATTTAGAATCCAGATATTCCTATTGAATATTCAGAATCAAAATAACTTGAAGGAAGAGCTGTTGTTGAACACTAGAAAATACTATTGTTAACTAAGAACATGAACTTTGTATATTAGCCTACATAGTAAGCGTTACAGTACAGGCTACTTGGAAGCTAAAAAGAATCGACAAAGTAAACCAGTGCTTTATTCTTTCATTACAGCTCTTTTTGTCGTATATTCTAAGAATGGATAGTATGTGCATAATCCGTGGCGCCTAAAAATTGATTGCGTTTTTGCTTTCATTCGAAAATACGAGTAGTAAACGAATATATAACTGAAAAAAATTAAAGTAGCAACAAAAGGTCATAGCGATGACTCACTTAATAATTCCATAGAATTCACTTTACGCTGCATGTATGAAGAATCAATAGCTACATCAAGTGCAGGTTCGAACCACTAGAATTTAATGAAAAAATAATATATGAACCCTAGCGTGCATAATAAACCAGATCTAAGATATTCAAACGTAAAAAACAAATAAAAGTGTCAATTACAGGAAACTGACTGAGTGTTAAAATCTAAAAGCGGAACTGCAGACCTCTGACAGGTAATAATAATAATAATATTAAATGAGGACTCCATATAACTTGTTACACACCTTCGCTAGAATAGATAATGCAGTGAAATTTTACCTTACATTATAAGTTAGAGACAAAAAAACTTTATCCGTAGAAAAATAACATCATATCAGTGATAAGAGGATCTAAGCACAAAAAGAATAGTGTTCGTATAGTAAAAAACGACCCCAAAAAATCCACAGCGAAAATGAGTAGAACGGCCAACTGACAAACTTTTACAACCACGTACGCATCAATCGCAAGCGCAACCTGATAATACCTCTTGAGACTAGAATCAGCAGAATACGTAGGCGAATCAGTAGGAGAGGAGACACTACTTGAGAATGGCTATCCACTACGCTTTATAGATAAACACATAAAGCCAAAAATCAACTAAGACCAATCCATCTCTGTGCCAAAGAAGATGCTATACATGAATGTGCCGTTCAAAGGCGACCTTCTGACCGACATCTTAAAGAGATAAATACCTGACGCCCTGAAAAGAACATTCCTTGCTGGTACATTGCGATTTGTATTCTCAAGCCGCCCACTGTTCTTCAACAACTCCAAAGATAAACTATAGCATTTGACCAGATCTATGTGTATCTCCCAATTCACTTGCTCACATGGAGCGATATATATATATATATATATATATATATATATATATGTCGTTCGATGCGTGTTTCATCCAAAAGAGCCAAAGAACATTATTCCTCTCGGCTACAAAAACGTAACAGTGCACTAATAAAGACTGCTATAATTGAACATATAGTCAACACTGGTCACTCAATATGCAAGGAGAGTTCATTTAAAGTCAAAAGAAGCCTCCCGAAAACGGTTAGCTTCCGTATACCTTGCATTGCCAAGGCCTTAGCGATCCTGATAGAAGACGCTGATTTATACACACACAAGAAACTTCTCCTAGGGTATAATTCCAAGTACAACTTTGTTTTGTTTTTGAATTTTTGTATGGGATCTTAGTAACATTTCCTTCCTAATCAACCCTTTATTTACTCCCTCTACCTATTACGTAATTTATTTCTGGACACGTGTCTCCATTAAAATCCTATTTCATATTGCGCAACTCTTGTCAGAACTTACCAATCTTCACCCCATAGATACAAATTAAATTTTGCTCAACAACGTCCACATTGATCTTGGCACCACCCTATAGAACTGATAATAACTACAAAATATTTCATATACCGATAGACTTTTTAGCCACATAGTTATATGCAGTATCATCAACATACCCAGTTTATTGTTTAATACTATTTTTGGGATAATTTATTTTTATCCATGTCCGAGTTTTCACAGATCACCGGTATCTGCATTGATTGATTAAATTTTGAATAACCATAAGCCCCAGTTGAAGCGGTTTAACGCATTCATCCATACGAAATTGATAGAGCCTATTAGAATGCTTTTACGGTTCGCATAGTAAAGCTAATGAGCATGCATAGCAGGTTAGAAGTGAAGCGAGGTGATTTTCTACACATCAGTTAGTTAACGGTTCACACTTATGTTGAATTGAATCAATGATATTATTATCCTCTTTTCTACTTGTCTGTTTTTGACATAGAACTTTGCACATATGTGCGGCAGTTCAGGTCGCCACATTCCATGTAGCACACAAAGCAAGAGAAGAAAGTAGAAGAAATGCATAATAAAGACGGTAAATAGAGGTGTGAGACAAAGGAATAGTAATAACGAAGAACAAAACAGTTTCATTGGAAATCATAAGTCACAAGGAGTGAATGCATCTGCGCTAGCCATTGAGAACGAACACTTTGAGCCATATCACTATTTGTTTCCCTTCCGAGGACCCCAGTCGGGAAGTCTGCACCTTCCTACGTGGCTTAGACCAACTGTTGTGGATTTCATTGACTGGTGCCATGTTTTTGTTTGACCTCCGCTAGCTCTTTTCCAGCTTGACCCTATATCAGCTAACATTGCCCGTCGAGGAAGGCGTTGACTAGGCATACGTAACACATGTCCTTACCATCTCAGTCGATGTAACTTCACAACCTCGTCGATTGATTTCCCCTCCTTACCTAGAACTCGTCGCCTAACCTCAATATTACTCACCTTATTATAACACTTTACACGGGAGATAGAGCGAAGGCACCTATGATCAAAGGCAGCTAATCTTTTCATGTCTTCCACTCTCAATGGCCAGGTCTCACAGTTGGTCATAAAGAGGGACGGAGCGAACTGATGAGCATTACACCCACTCTTTGGTCGATAGCCAGCCAGATTTCACTTCTACGCCAGAGGCGGCGTAAACTGGCATATGCAAAACTAGCTCTCTGTATCCGTGCTGAGATTTCGTCAGAGATCAACCCGTTGGCACTAGCTGATGGTACTTCGCAAATAAGTGAAGCGGTCAAAGTACTCTACCACTTCAGTCCCTATTTCCAAACTAGGGATCAGTGTAGTCCAGTCCTGTAACATCATCTTACATTTGGCGGGGGCGAATCGCATGCCAAACATTCGTAGATTGCAGCTCAAGGTGTTTAGAAGACTCTGCATTTTGTCAGCGTCCTCGCCTAGAAGGACTATATCGTCTGCATATTCTAAGTCAACGAGATTATTCCCTCTCTGGTAGCAAGTCAATCCCTGAGTCTCTGAAGTGAGTTAGTACTACTTGGGAAATTTAGCTCACCAAAAGGATTTCCAATAGGAATGAGCACCTAGACTTCATTTACACTTTCATAGAAATGTACTTCACAAATTATTTTAAGAAACCGTTATGTTCAAAATATTTTTTCTTCAGTATATCGATGCTTTCTGTTGCATATATGCTAAAATCTCCGTATATTTACTGGTTAACCGTAGAATTATTTTACAAAGAAATAAAAGTATCATCCAAGTTAACATAACATTTCTCTTAGTAAGCTTTACAACAATTGTAGCAAGAAACTGAGAAAGTAAGCAAAGGCCAAAACAATTGAAGGCGTATACACATATTTGAGGAGAGATGTACAAATTTTCCCTCAATCAACGTTAACAGAAATTACGAGGAGTTCTCTATGTTCTTTGAGTCGACATTCATTAGTAGCGTAAAGTAAAGTGATATGATATTTCCTGTCAGTAAGTGAGATCAGTTAACCCTTAGCTTAAACGGAGCTAGGAGAGGCGTTAGCAACAAAAGATACAAAAATAAATTCATACTGTAAAAACATACTACTTGCAAGTAGACAGAGTAAATTAATGCAATTTTAGATGACAACAAAAGCATGTAGGTCATGAAACAAAACCTGGGTTATGAAATATTCTCATAAAGAGAATTAAAGCAGTTAGCACCGGGACTGAATTTATTGAAAGGAATATTTTTTAAATAGAACCACCCTTCATAAGAAGACGGTTCAGGAATGACAGCAATCTGAATTTTTAATGCAACTACAGTAAACATTTCATTTACCATTGACTATTGCATGAAAGAGAAGACCAGTGTGTCTCGAAGAACAAAACGAATCAAATGTCATTATATCACCTAGTTTAAAGTGAATTACTGAAAGACAGTAAACAGCCTGAAGATGACACCCAAACTGATATAGAAAGATTTGCTTGATGTAACCCAAAACCCTTAATGATATCAATATGTTACGACTAATTCCACACTGCACAAGTTTACTTGGTATACCATATCGCTATGTGTTAACACACAGCAATATGGTATTAGTAACTGGATGACGTTCCCAGCAAAATTTGTTAATAATAATCATATCAATTTATTTATACGGATATATGTGTCCCTAGTTGCTTGAAGTAATTTTCCGTATCTCTAGTATAGGCGTTGCGTAATTTTCTTTCCTGTGTGTGGTGTCGATTCGATGAACAAAGACTTAGCGAATAACCTCTTCCTCCACTTAACTATATTATTATTCCCTTGGTTTCCAAGTGGAACATATGGTTTCAGCAACACATCTTCACTTTTTTCTACTTTCTGCCATCATCTTCAGCCATGTCCACGATTACCCAAACTCTCTCATCTCCTCTTCGCACAATCTCCATATCACCTTCACGCCAACGATCAAGTCATCGCTCTTATTGGGATTCCACTCGAGCTATGGCCTGCACTGCGTGCGGTGTCATTCGACGGCCTCCTCAACGTGTGCCCGATCCATCTCCATTCTCTACTACATATTTGTTGAGCAATCGGATCTTGGTTGGTTTTTGTTCCACGTCAGAGTTTCCTGTCACTAATTCTCTCCGGTAAGCCATTTCATCTTCAGTATGGAGCCCAGAAAAGGCGGAAACTGTTGATGTAAGTCCGAAACCTGTTGTTTTTATGACACACCAAGTTTCTGACCCGTATAGAAGGACCAACTTGACATTTGTGTTGAAAATGCGCACCTTATTCCTTATGCTGAGTACAGAAGATTTTCAAACTGGTTTTAGGTTGATGAAGGTGTATCTTGCCTTTCCAATTCTGATTTTGACATCTTCATCCGTTCCGCCTGTAGTTGAAATGATGCTTCCTACATAAGTGAAGGTGGGAAGTAACCTCTATCAAATCTCTCCCGTTGATAGTGCTTGTTGTTTCTATTGATTAGTTATCTTCATCACCTGGTTTTTCTCTGTGTTCACCTGTGGTCCTGCCTTCGCTGCCGTCTTCTTCAGCCGGTATTTTGGTTTTCACCTGCAAGTCTTCGAGACTGTGTGACATTAGATATATCTGCGAAATCTATATTTCCCAGAGTCTTCTTATCTGTAGTGCAGCGGACTCCTGTCTCCTCGCTCCCAAGCACAGTCTAACTCATAATTCAGTTCACCACAATTAGGAATGTACCATCGGTGAATTAACTATATTACTTTTTAATAACTTCCACCCTGTTCGAACCTATTGTGTGAATAAACTTGGTTAAATATCCATATACTCGGCCCAGGAGTCTAGATTATAACCCAGAAGATTTAAATAAACGTACTAATGAAAATGACGAAAATAATATACATAACATGGAATCCCAAGCCTCTGTAGTACTACAATATATAAAGAAGAGACATAGAAAGTCTTACGTAGAATTATTAACGAGGCTGGAATAAGGGTAACATTTACACCAACTGAACCTCAGAGACAAATTCTGTCGGCTTAAGAACCCGATAGATAGATTCAATTAAGAAAGATAATATAATTTACCAAATATCCTGAAATGACCATGAGGTCAGCTGCATAGGTTACACTAGTAGTTAGGCGTTAATTAGATTATTGGAGAATAAAATTTAACTAAATGTAGAATGACCGACCTGGTTGAACTAAATAAGCTAAATAACCTAGAAAAAAAATCAGTCATTGTAATGAATTCACTTGCATGTAATCAAACAAGGGTGGGACAGAATGAAAGTATTAAGAAGTGATTTAGTTTGGTGGATAAAGAGGTTAATCATTGAATCTGTGTTCATCGAATCAACACCAAACACATGCAAGCGAAATAACGCCTATACTGCAGATAACGAAATTCACAACAAACAACGAGGGGGAGGGAGATAGAGAAATATATAAAGCAAATTATGAAGCTGTGTTATCGAAATGTCATCCAAAAATAAATACTGTATCCATCAGTGTTATGTCATATAAACGTATCCACATTCTTACTTTCTATTACAGTGACTAAGTTCTACACTCACATTAATTTACGATTAAGTTATCCAATATATAATGCCTGGCGTCAGTGGCACAGCAGTAGAATACTCGCCAATCACGCATGTGGTTCAAGGTGCGATCCCCGGTCGATGCAATCCTCTATCTCACTAAGCCAGTAAAAAGCCTAGTAAAGAGGGAAGTTTGGCCATGAGGCTAGAGCAACCACATTCCGTAAAGATAAACACCACTGCTACCGAAACTTCATAAACTCTAGCCAGAAACCCTATGTCCCATTGGGAACGTAAAGAAATATATATATATATATATATATATATATATATATATATATACAATGTCTACGTGAGAATTAAGCATGAAACTAACCTGAGCAGGCAAGAAGTATTCTACCATCCCAACAAATATTGCACCGAAAAACAATCCTGATATTACTGGTACGATAGCATATGCACCCAGGCCCAGGTCATTTTTGGCCATTTCCAGAGCTGGGTCCAAAAGTGACCAAAATGACGCCGCCAACATAATCTATTTGGAATATATTTTAAAAAATATGCACCAAACACATAATTGAGCGGGCAAAGTTAGTGTAACACATTCCTAAACTAAATTAACTAAACGAGTCATTCTTGAGGCAACACGATGAGAGAAAAAGTTACGAACCTAGCTTCCATCCAAATACTAGGTAATAATAAGGCATTGAGCGTTGAGAATGCTTTATTAAACATTATCTGCCAGTAAATGGGTATCCTCTACAATTGCTACTTTCTGTATTATGATTCTTGTATAGCAGCTTTATGAATTATCCATATATATTATTATTATTATTATTATTATTATTATTATTGTATCCTTTAGTTCCTAGAGAAACATAGGGCTTCAGCTGCGCACCTCCATTGCTTTCTATTTTCTGACAACTTTTTTACCCCGCTCCAGGTCTGCCCACATGCTTTCATCTCCTCCTCGCATGATCTCCTCCAAGTCACCCTTGGACGACCAACTCGCCGCCTCCCTTTCGGGTTCCACTCGAGAAATGGCTTGTCTAGTGATGTCACTTGATGCTTTCCTCAGCGTATGGCCAATCCATCTCCATTTCTTTCTGCCTATTTGTTTCACAATCGGTTCCTGATTGGTTCGCTCCCAGAGATCCCTGTTGCTGATCTTTCCTGGCCATCTGATCTTGAGTATTGAGCGGAGACAGCTGTTAATGAGAGTCTGAAGTTTGTTTGAGATGCTCTTTATGACGCGCCAAGTATCTGATCCGTATAGTAGCACTGACTTTACATTGGAGTTGAAAATCCGGATCTTATTTTTGATGCTGAGTGCTGTTGACCTCCACACAGATTTGAGAGTAGTGAAAGCTTGTCTTGCTTTTCCGATTCTGGCTTTGATGTCCTCGTCAGTTCCGCCTGTAGTTGAGACGATGCTTCCCAGGTAGGTGAAGGAGGTTGTTTCTTTCAGGTTCCTCCCATTTATGCTGATTGTTGTTGTTGATGTTGGCTAGGAATCTTCATCACCTCTGTTTTATCTATGTTCACGTGAAGTCCTATCTTTGATGCTTCTTCTGCCAACTTGTTACTTTTCACTTGCATATCTTCCAGTTTATGGGAAATCAGACATATATCATCGGCGAAATCCAGATCCTCCAAGTCTTTTGTGTCAGTCCATTTTATGCCAGTTCCCTCGTTGGTTGCCGTTGTCTGTCGCATTATCCAGGGAGAGAGAGTTACATTATGATGCGATCTGTGTGAATAGCAGTTGGAAATATTCAGTGATGACGATTCGCAAAATGACATGAAGTATCTACTCATTATAGAATTTTAATATTTCAAAACTGAACTGAAATCAGTGCGTAAAAGGGTGAATCATACAACTTACCCCAGCCGAAAAACCTAGACACCCATCGAGAATCTGATTCTAAAAATCATATTATAAAAATACAAAAATATAATCTAAACAATTGAAATTGCATTTTTCACAATTAATAAACAACAATGACAAACTGAATTTGTTAGGATAAATAAATAGCTTACTTGATAGTGTCTAAAAGTCTTACTCGTACAGAATCTATGAAAGGTTCGAATGGTACCCACCTGAGTTTCACAGACCTATGGAAATGTATTATTAGCTAGTGTCATGAAGTAGCAGTAACTTTGAAAGAAGACTACTTGCGAAATACGTCCAAAACAATCACTGTCACCATTAACAAATCAAACTTTGAATGACTAGAGTTCTGACAATTTAGGTAAATTTCATTAGTGCTAATTTTACTCCTTGGATGATACGTTGTATACTGCAAGAATATTAGATAAAAGTGTGACATAATAGACACCAAAATAGTTTTAGAATTAAGAATTAATTAACTTCATCAAAGGAAAGTTAATTTATGACTGTATAAATGTGGTCCTTATTGGCTAGGGACAAAAAATATTATAAGTCAACTTTTACTATGTGACCTGTAAACCAGAAATAGATAAAACGTCAGTCGGTACATGCTAATCAGTTAGAACATATTTTTTTTTTAATTTTAAACTAGTTAATTATTAGATCACGTAAAATAGCGGTAATTTCTAGTCACATTGCCTTTTGCATGGAGAAACAAATCTTTGCCTTCCCAGGCAGTCTTCTCAGTGTGAGAAAAGTATTTGAGTGATCAGTTGTATATTACTGAGTGTTGAAGTAACTGCAAGAACGAACCCAAATTCCAGTATTATTCAGTTACAACAGAACTGTTCAATCTTAAGTTTTGCATCTTTACTAATGTGCTTTATTTGACCACTTTCGTCAGTGAATACTAACTGAGTGTTCAATTTCAACAAGTAAACAACCCTAAATGGAATTGATTAACCAGAATTTTACATCAATAGACCATAGCGGACATAACTTAATTAACCTTTAAAGTCAAACATAGAGCTGATACCAAATACATACACAAAGTTTGAATAAAGCTGATATTATTATTATTAGAACTGGTTCACTGACCATTCTCATCTAATACAAAGAAGTAAAAAAATTCTCATTAACAATAACCTGGTGGTCAAGCCTATAATCAATAAATTCCCTGTAAACCAGTGCTTATTAATTATTCTAATGCTCACTAGTGACTGGCTGCATACAAGTAAGTCTCCTGGAGTACTACTGAGAAGTCGTAACCATCTGGGTCCACCAAGTCAGGTAAGAGATCAGTTACTCACCTATAACATTGGCTGACAGTGGTGCTTTATATACATCAAAAACTGACAAAAGTTGGAATTCATAGGCCATTAGGTCGTGTCCCAACGACTGAATGCTCTATGAGCTTTCCTTGTAACTAGAAAGTTCTGGGTTCAAACTCCAGTAAGCGCGTACCATGAGGAGTCCTAAATCGGGACAAAACAACTGTCTAGTTTTCCAATAGTTCTCCACCTGATGTCAACTAGTAATCAAACCTGTGAAAAAAAGTAACCTCATCTATATACAAGTAAACTATAAAAGATACGAAGAAATATATTCGCATACCTGTAAATGGACAGAATGACTAGAAATGATGAAACAGAATACAGAGCCAAGAGCAGTTACAAACCATGTTAAACCAGTACCCAATATAGTCTGTACAAATGGAGATACATCTTGAATCATGATGATATAGTGAATGTAACGATGTACAAAGTCTAAATCAGCATGTAATATAAAAAATGAAATATGATATCACACAAGAAGCTGAAAATAAAGTAAAAACAAAATAGAGAACGATTAAAATTCACGTATCAATTAATCTAGTAATGATGATGAATCCGCTTCAACTCTGAGATTTATATAGTGAGCAGTTTCTTTATAAACTAAAAACGGGACACAAATAAATTAATATGGAGTGAAATCCAACTACTAAACACCAACAGTTTAACCACAAAGTAACGAAATAAAAATTACACTACCAAGTTTACTAACCACCAACATGGCTATGTATTCCTGGAAGTGTGCACATCAAAAGAATTAGATAGTTGGATCGGTAAAACAAATACTTTTTCTAAACCCTCTCAAGACCGCATACGGGCTCGAACATAGTATGAACAGATAAAGCAGTTGTGAGTGGAGCAAGTACTACAACTACGCCGTTAAATACTACTCCAACTCAAATCATTAAAATGATATAAACTAATAATACAGTAAATCTTCTTTGAATTATGACTTCCCAATAGCGTTTTTTCACGGAGGAAATAAATCAATAAAATATAACTTGTGGCTCGCATAGCCATAATTTGAATCTAACAAAACTTACAGACAGCCTTAATCCGACTTTCCCTATTCAAGTAGGTAGTTACCTGGGGTTCTAGTGAGAAGTCGTGACCAGTAGGGTGCAGCTGGTCGGGTGTGAGGACAAATACTCGCCGACGACATTGGTTAGGGGTCGCGCTATGTCAGGAATTGGCAAAAGTTAGAATTCATGGGCAATTGGATCGGGTCCCGTGGCTTAATAGTATACGAGCTCGCCTTGTAACCAGAAGGTCTTGGGTTCGAATCCCGCTGGGTGCGTACTGCTGAAGAGTCCGAAACTAGGACGAAACAGCTGTCCAGTACTTCCAGGTTTTCCAATGGTTCTCTAACTAATATCAGCTCATGATGAAATCCTGAAACTAATCAAATCCCTACACAAAGCCGACAATGTAGTGGTTTCCATAACTCCTTTGTCACACCCTAACAACCCTTTGATATCAATATCCCATATCATGATTGTGTAGTGTACATGAAATATAACTTGCTGAGAAAAGAAAACTGATGAATCTCTGAGACCAGTTGAAAACTATACATGGAAATAATAGGTTTAGTGAACACAATAAACCAAATGGCAAGTGCTTTTCTGACATCTCAGTCGCATCTAAGTAGTAGGATTTCAGTCTTCATTAGATGTTGGAAAATCCTATGTTTAGTTACCACAATTTAGATGATCTTTTTTTAATACAGAGAGTTTCAAACATTCTACACGCACAAATGACTTAACAGGCACACACCAAAAATCAAAGAAGCAGTATTATGCGACACAAAACAAAAGAAGCTAAAAGAGGTAATCTTTATTCATTTCAAACATAATATACAACATACAAAATAGGGATAGTGTTTGAAAAAAATAATAATCTAATGTATAACTAGTCAAATTCACAACAATGTTTCTTAAATGCACAATCTGGAAAACCAATGTGAAACAATTAATCTGAAAAATATTTAAGATATTAGTTTCTTATCGTTGTAGGCCTTGAATCAACCAATGGGCGATCTGCTCCAAGTATTCAAAACCAAAATGTTTGCCAATACTACGGTAAACATCTAAACGACGATAAACTGCATGCTCAGTAGGAACAGTAAGCATAAGCTTGGTTGAGCAATCAGCACACTGAGCAACTGAACCACCATTTGCGAGTAACTGTTCTTGTATTCCACCACCGACAAGGCATTTATGACATTGAAGATCCTGTGAAAGAGAATTAGTTCTACAATGAAACGAATTAGTTCACACACAAAAGGCCTTCTGCTCAATTCACTATGAATATGTAACGAATAAATAGATTTCACTAGACGATAATTACAATCCTAAAAGGAATAGTTATGGACGGAAACCAACAATTGTGACACAAGAGTTGTTTGAAGCTGAGGTGCTTTCAGGCATACGGAGCCTTATGTAGTGATTAAAAAATGGATATCAATACAGTATGGGAGGGACAAAGTAACGGCTGAAGCAAACAAGTAAAATAAATGTTCTCCTCAATGTATAAAGATGAAAGTGCTTCTTGTTGAAGGGTTTTAATCAAAATGAATACCTATCCAGCAGCCTTAATTACTCACGAAATAATAATCACCCGACCAATCGGTATTTTCCTAAAATCTCCAATGAGTCGGAGACAACAGAAATTCTTACGCGGTTTTAATATAAAGATGGACCCAGCCAATGGGCTACATTGATAATATAAACCATAGCATGAAATGTATTTAAAGTGAAAGAAGCAACACAGAAAGATATTAACGAACCTGCAAACAGTGTTGAAGAGACATTTGTTCAAGTTGTTGAACGAGTGCTTCTTCTAATCTAGCACGTGGATATACCGTACGACAATGTGGACAAACCCAAGCCCAATGACCTTCTTTTCCAACTTCGGAATTAACTGAATTGGTTGAAGAATCAATTATCCATACAACATTTATATCCCGGCAAATGTCTATGTCTCGTGTGTAATTACATGTGGGGCATGCAACCTCGGGTAGGTAAATGAGTAATGAACGAATGGCAGTTGTTCCAAATGTATTCTGATTAACATCTTGGTCTAAAGGAGAAATTCGAGTCATGTGTGGTGCAATCCATACAGCTTCAGGGGAAAATTCTCCTATATTAATCAAGCGAAGGAGATCACGTCTGGTACCCGCGATTTGTAGCTTTGTAGAAGGCTCTAAACTTAATATCTAGTTGAGAATTGAAAAACAAAATATACATAAAACAAAACTAAACCAGGAAATATTTTGTTTTCAACCGAAAAGTTAAATTAAAACATTAAACCGAAGTCATTAAAATAAATGAAAGAGTCTCATTCAGGTCTTCAAGCACATTTTCATTTCAAGTTAGCAGATTACTCTTATAATGACACATGAAACTCTTCAACTCCCATAGAAAAGGACAATAACCTTTAGAATATTTACAGTGTTACCAACAATTGTGGTTTTAAGTTTACATAAGATAGTAGAACAATAATTATGCATTATTATCCCAGTTTTTCTCGTAAAACTTTAAGGTTGGTAAAAATAAGTGTGAGAATGGGAATGTAAAAAAGAAAACAAACTTGCCTCGCACAGTGACTTAATGAAATCCAGTAGTGGAGTGAAATTCAGTGAGTAAACCGCTTGATGAGGTGGCAAAAGAGGCAAAATTAAATTGTGATTTGAAGTAGAGTTATTGTCAGTCCCATCGAAATCTAGACGTGTACTAATTGACTTCTCTGCTAGGTAGACTGTTACAATTTCATTATTTCGCTGTATTTTATCTTGAGTATACGATTTGCCATTACCACTATTTATCGATTCTGGGTCTACCCAAGCAGCTTTGCGCTGTAATCGCATGATTAGGTTGTATAGTTCCGGGGCTAGATGATCTCTAAGTAAACGTTCTTGATATTCTCGAACACGAGGAGAGGCTGTTGCATCTGACTTGTACGGCGTTGTTTCACTTTCCTCTGCATGATTGGAATCTTCATTAGTATTATTACCACGTGGCACAGGAGGTTGATTTGATTCATTCTGAAGAAATGTAGGAGAAATTTTGTGATTATCAAAAAAGAATTGGTGATTTAATGTCCTGTAGTAAATTAAAAAATGGAAATTCACAACAAGACAAAAGAGTATCATGCTCGTAAGATTTTGAAATAATGGAGAAGATTTGTGGCTCAGGAGGATGATATTGAATTGGTTTATTTAATTGCGAAGCTTTCGTCGTCCTAGACAACATCTTCAGCGCTTTATATATATATATATATATATATATGAGCATACTAAATACATTTAGTCATAGATTGAAACTTCGTCATATTTTAAGATAGACCTAGCTACTATATCTGTATTCACTTAAGAGATGAAATGCACTTAAGTAAGACGAAAAGAGTCAGTTTATGATGCCTGAGAAAAAGAAAAAGGGACTCACCAATGATTGTGAACCCGTTGCACTACGTAAACGTCGGTGTTCATTGCGTATTTCAGTATAAACAGCTAGTATATACCCTGCTAGAAGACTTAGGAATTTACTTCTTAAACCACGCGTCTCAGGTAGATAACGTGCCAGATGCCATTGCATATCAAGTTCTGGGTCGGGTAGTGCTGTATTCGGTGGGATTGGATTATTCTCCTTATCGTCAGGATCAGAATCAGATGAAGGATTTTGTGCAACTGAGAACTCACCCCATTCGATATCTTTACCATTAACCAGATTTCCTACAGAAGCCTAGAAACAGTTAAAATCGACAGAAGAGCGATGAAATCAGTACAAAAAGACTTTCCACTTAACAAAAAATAGATGAGCATATCAAGCATTACCGGAATACTCAGTACTTAATTGCAGAGAAAAGAAAGGCAAGTACAAGAGACAGGCCAGTTTAACACTCTAAAACAGACCAAACAATTTTCATGATTCTCATGATTTTGTTACCAACTGATATGAATAACTGACCTTTAGTGTCACAACCACGACCTTTTAGAACACTATTCAGCTGGACAGCTTCTAAGAAAGCCTACAAAAATACTCTTTGCTGGTGTATACCTTTTTAATTCTCATGATTTATTGGCTCAATCACTTAACATCATGAATTGGACCGCTACCTCGCCAGACACAACTAAAACAATCACGCATCGATTAGTCCTATGGAAATATGTTTACTTCAAGTCTAGAGTGTCACTGAAGTTGCTGAAACATTTTCCGAAAATTGGATTATATAATACATTTCTTTACGTGGTACGCCCTTCAACTAACCATATTATAATAGACAGACGATGTGGGCCACAAGTTAGTGATTATGTTAACTTAATTAGTTAGGCACTTCATTCCACTACAGTTACCAATTTAAAGAAAAACAAAAGAAAAATTGACGCCCATTATTCGATTTTCAGTCAGAGTGTTATTCCACATACAATCACAACAATATAACTTTGAAGGCGGATAATATGGTCACAGAGAACGAACTATAAACAATGTACGTTATAACTCGAAAAAGTCACCACTTATCGATGTTTATATTGTGTGCATACAGATGATTTTGACAGTCAATCAATTCATTCGTAAAGCTGGTCACTTTGAAAACACTCGTCTTAGTGACCATGCGACAAGCAAGGAATATACAAGAAAGATGAAGGATAATATACAAAAATAACTTATAGAGGAAGTTAGGTAGGAATATAGAAGTTGATGACACGTTTCGTTTCATCCTGAAATTTAAACTTTCTTTATCCAAGGACACAAACACTGAGCTCATATTACCTAGTGCTGTTCACAACAAAAGAGATTAGCTTCAAGCGTGGAGAAGTTATAATACAAAAAGTACCGCTATTATTTTACATCTGAAAGAAAGTCATCAAGCAATAACTAACCTTAACACCAGCATAATTGGCGGAGTCCATCCACATTAATTGACGCCAACTGGTAACATACTGCAAATCCATATGAGTGAACAGTGTTCCCGGGCGTGTACGTAATAAGTGCGTGAAATAATCTACACGGGCCAGCGCTTCCGGTAATTCAATTCTATGAGTTGATATGATTAAACGACTGAAATTCGCATAGATTATGTCCACATGTAAATGACTTAATTCATCAACCAATTTAAGAAATACCTGAATGATACCAGTTAATGGAATGAAAGAAAATCCCAAGAATAAGCTAAAAACAGTGAGGAGTAAAAAAGGAATTAGGAATGAAGCATATCCTATGTATATCCTAACTGATTTCTGATTGAAGCTAGAGATTCCAAAAATTTCAAAGAATACTAGTTTAGACGAAAGTTAGTGACGAAATTACATCCTGTGCTGAGGTTGACATCGACTAAAGAAATCAGATGTCATTTCACGTTTCTACAAAAAGAGATCCACAACTGTCAGTAGTAGAAACTAGCATATTAAAAGCATATTAACAGAGTGACTGACAGCATGTCATCCTGGCTCTATGTTGATCAAATTTGCTTGCGATGTAATCACCAAGTTAAGGGGGATCAATATAAGGAGATGAAATTGATTAAACATTATGTTGTCGAGGTTAATAGATAAAATCTGAGTACCTTTTATCTCGTATCCACTTGCTCTCCTAAGAGAGGGATGGATTCATCAATGAAGTTAAATATCCTTCCTAAACTTTTGTTGCCCTATCTTATTCTAAACAGGTATGAACTTCTCAAAAAAAAAATTTCCTCAGTCCTTCACAATAACCTTGAAAAATAGATCCAGGTTTGCCTACAAACTACGTTTGACAATGCAACATCGAAAACCACTCACCAACTCGCTAACTATCACTTGAAATGTGAATAACGAATATCATTTATCAATGGTATGAATCCACTACGGAACTTTGTAGTGCAAACTCACGTGGTTACCTCTGAGTTCGACAATTAACGCATTGCAGATTGTTACTCATCAAATGCCACAAAAAGCCTCAGCACTTATTCATTTGAGTAATGCAGTAATTTGTACAACAGGCAATAACAGTGGAATTAAAGTGTCTTAAATAGTCTGATTGTAAATTTTCTGACTTCAATACTCGACGACATCATTCTTTTTATAGTTCAACACAGAGACCACTGGCTGGTGGCAGAAACAGTGGGACTTAGATAAAACTTGATATCTTAATAGACATACCGTAATACCTAAAACCAAGAAATAGTCAAACCCATCAGAACTTAAACCAAAAGAATTGATTTTTTCAACTAACTTTCTCAGTCTCAAACAATGAAGTTAGGCAGACAAATAATCTAACTTTTCCACGTCATTTGATGAAAACAAGATTGGAACTGCAGTCCAAGAGAGGGTTTGTCAATTATTTGCGAAATACATTACAAACTTTATCAATACCTTGAATGGATAACAACAAAAATATTAGAAAAATGTGATTTTCAATCATTCGTGGGGTACAGTCAGTGCTGAAAAGCTTACTTTTTTCATTAACTTCTGAACAGTTCGCCGTAGAGCTGGGTCGTAGAACAGTGAACGAGGTGATCGCAGCCATTGATAAAAATAGATAACCTGTTCATCGGCCAAAGGATTTTGAAACTCAGTTACATCGCCAACCCAAGCAAGAACCATATTACTGAAGATTTTTAACATCGAAAAATAAGAATAAAAGAAAATATGAACAATACCCATGCTTTAGGTTCATGGTTTGTCTAGTACACTAAATTACATCAAATACTAGTGTTTTTATTATGGCTTTCTTCTGAATGAAAACATTTTTGTTTTAATTATATAAGGATTCTCTATGTGTTTACCAGTATAAATTAATTGAACCAAAGTAAGTTGCATGGTTTGCGTTTTACAACTTGATTATGGTGAAGGCAGTGAAGTTATTCCCAAGTTCTTTTTGTAGCATCTCTTCTATTCGTATTCTGTTTGTTAGTCTCTAACGTCGGCTAACAATAACTCGGATTTGCAATTAGTCTTCTCTGAGCTGGTTGGTTTAGTTGCGGAGCTTTCGTCCTCTTTCTGGACGGCATCTTCAGCGCAGTATTTAGCATAAAGTTAAATGTTGAATTGAATCTTTTGTTAAGTTAAATGATTTAAAAATCTCCATGAATGATGATACAATTGCGTCTCCTGGTGACCAACTATCTTCACATATGTATTGACCGTTTTCTATTGATTGGGATTTTAAACTTTCTATTATTTCAATAACTCGGATTGTTGATATTAGATGGTTGGAGGCAATCGGCCACAGGAAGCCTTTCGACTTGGGTTTCGTGCTAGTTGGCATTCGTCAGCAAGGGGTATATGCAACCTTGAAAGAACTCATGTCCCTTCTGAGATTCGAACCTGCGTCACCCAGTGAGTGCTGCAGTCAGAGACGTTATCACTGCGTTACAAAATGTAAGATGCTGCTACAGGACTGGACCACGTCAACTCCTAACTTAGTGATAGGGAGTGAAGTGATAGAACATGTTGACCACTTCACCTATTTGGGAAGTTGTATTAGCACCAACGGACTGATTGGCGACGAAATCTCAGCACGGATCCAAAAAGCTCAAGCTGCTTTCGCTGACTTACACCATCTCTGGCGTAGGCGTGACATCCGGTTATCAACCAAGGGACGTGTGTACTGCTCAGCAGTTCGCTCCATCCTTCTCTATGGCTCTGAAACATGGCCAATACGAGTTGAAGACATGAAAAGGTTGACTGCTTTCGATCATAGATGTCTACGATCTCTTTCTCACGTTAGGTGGTTTAATAAGGTAAGTAATGTTGACGTTAGGCGTAGAGTGTTGGGCAAAGAGGGAAAATCAATCGACGAGGCTATAAAGTTACATAGACTAAGATGGCTAGGTTACGTGCTGCGCATGCCTAACCACCGCCTCCCCCGACGGGTATTGCTAGCTGATATAGGTGGTGCAGGCTGGAAAAGAGCCAGTGGTGGCCAAACAAAAACATGGCATCAATCCATGAAATCCTTGACAGTTAAACTGAGTCAGGTAGGGAGATGCAGACTCCCGGGTTGGGGGCCTCGGGACTCTAGGAATCAATGGCTGGAGACAATAGGTGACACGGCTCAAAATCGTTGTCAATGGCGCAGATGTATTCAGTCTCTGTAATCTTTCATATTCCTTTCTACCATTACCCATTCTGTTTCGCTCTTATACTTGTCAAACTCTATTGATTCTCTTCACTCATCTTCTTGTCTACCTCTGTGTGCTATTTGGAACGTGGCAACTCGAACTGCTGCACTTCGGTGCCAAGTTCTATGTTGAATCCAGACAAAGACAGAGACAGACGTTATCACTGAGCTATTTGGGATCGCGACTGACCTCCTATAGGACTGTACTGGATACTTTTGACTGGACACTGATTAGTAACTGGCGTAATGTGTGCATCGTGATAGCGAGCCACCTAGAATGGTAGCCACATTGCGAACGTGACTGATAGAATTCAATCTGAACCAAAGAAAGGACTGGACACATCACAGTAGTTACTAACTACTGTCCAATCAAAAATAACTCGGATTACCAGATGTCATAAAGAAACTCAGTCTCAATGCTGGAAATGCAGTAGGTGATAATATTCTCACCAATTAATGACGAAACAATTCTGATATATTGGATATACGTAAAACAGTTAAGAGTCGATGTGACAAACAGCCCATCTAAATATATTCCAAATAATTCTGATCTGCAGTGGAAATGGATAAAAATTTCAGTGCTTTTGTGTCCTATGTATATCGCTGGCATAAAAGTACTTAACAAAAGTAAAACACAAAAACAGATTAAAGTTGACACAATGTTGAGCAACTGAAAATAATCTTTAAACTTCATGATGAGAAAATTTAAGTAACTTTAGCACTGAAAAACCGGGGTACAGACAGTAAATAAACAACTTGGTCACGAGTCAGTAAAACAACAGTGTATTCTTTTAAATAAAATGGGTCAGTGTTTGTTTATTTATAGAGATGGCATATTAAGTTATGCGTATAGTTACTGGATTATTCATGCACTCAGTGAACCTATTCTATATTGTGAAACAGAGATGATAAAGTTTTGCTAACGCATATTGATTCAACTTGAATATCTAAAACGAATTTAAATTTCTGAAGGAATGGACACTTTTTTGATGACACTCCGTAACTTCAACAATGAAATTACGGTCAGTTCCGGTCACTGAATATCAAAACCTGTGACAAACTATGCTGTAAAGTATGCTCAAAGGGTAAACAGAAACAACAACAATGATTAATGAAGACAGTTGAATAGGGAAAATTATTATTAAACGCAAATATGCAAAACACTTACCGAAGAACACGAAAGGCTGCACTGCAAGCAGCTGTTTCATCGTAACTCGTAATATGAGCACCTAAATTTACACCCTGGTTAAGTTGCTCTTCAAGTGTTCGATCAGCAACAGATAATCGATCGAATGACAACATTGTAGCACCTTCCAGTTCAGGAATACGATTGGCAACGATCAAAGTATTCACGGCTAGATTCGAGAACTCTAATTCAACACTAACATATGGATAACATCCAGGTCGATTGACTTCGACCACCTTGGAAAGCAAAAGAAAGAAGCAGCATGATAACTATTTAAAAAAACGTAATGAGATAAATAGAAGGCATTTTCATTCTCCAGTCTCCATTATTCCTGGTTTGTTACTAAACAGTAAGTTTGGTGGATTAGGAAAATGAAACGTAACATGTGAAACGACATTTATCGGACAGATATATGACAGGCTAACGTACATAAACATAATATTAGTGTATGCAAAAGCTTTGCCATCAAATTCAACAACTTACTCCGGACTCTTCCATTTCAAGTAACAGACGCTGATCGTCTGTTTCCTTCCCACCCAAATCAGGACGATCGGAAGGTGAACACCAAAGGATATGATTATGCTTCATCAAATGCCTAGCATAAAATAAATCACAGCCCAATTCAATAGCACTTATGGAGCTGGCCGGTGGTTGATCGTCCTGATCTTCCAGAGTGTTTAGTGAGACTGATAATGGAGCTTCAGAGACTGGTATATTGCCGACAGGAATGTGCAAGTAACGTGCCAATTCTAACTGACGTTCGAAACGTGCTTCAGACTGAAAAAAAACATAGCAAAAAACGTTCACCAATGAATTACAGTTGTGTTTACAAAATACATTAAACTGTCAAACTTCAATCTAACTTAATCAAGTGAACACATGCTTACATCCTCCCTTAGAAAGAAGTGTTTAAGCGACACCAAGTTGATATCACCTTAGATACCTAAAAAGCATAGAAATGGGACATATTTCTCAGGTTGAGAACTTAAGTAATACACACCTGGAATGATGTGAGGTTTTTTTATGTATAGAATCAGCTTGAAAATATGCTAGGGTCAGGGAAATTTGAATTAGTCTAAATGCCAAAGGGGAAATGATTTAACAACTGAAATCTGAAGTAGCACTTATCAAACATCTGTAATCCAATACAAGCTTATAAATAAACTGCTGCCTGAAAATTGGAATCATTCAGTGGTTAATTGGCTTACAAAAACTCAACAAATGATTTAAGGGGTTTCAACTAGGTCGATTCATTCAATTTTAAGATTTCATTAATAGGCATAAATTTATGAACATTTGAAACAATGTAAAACTTAGCATATTTCACAGGTTTAAGATGAGTAACTGTTTAACAAGAAAGAACCTATGAGACATGAAAAATTATATGCAAAGGTTAACAATAAGCAAGTATTTAATGATGGGATCAATAAAAACACGATATCGAGTATTTTACATGAATGTAAAGAAGGTAGTAGGTATACACATCAATGAATTCGTCAAATTCTGCTAACTTTGAGAAATCAAAATAAGCAGTGCAGTTTCCTATAGATAACTCCAGAAAACCACTAGTAATCTGTAAACTTGAAATGGTGTAGGTCATTTGAAAGATAATGTTTTAGCAGACACACATATATGCTGGTTCACTTTAAGAGGTTCATAATGAAGTCAAGGAGCAATACATGAATGCTTAATCGTATATGCATAAATAGAGTATGAGAACAGTCATAAACTGACTTAGGTTAAGGTAACATCGTATGATCCATACAATACAGAGAGGTAAGTATAATCATGTAACGCCATACTGAAGAAAAACTACTATAGAAAACGATTAAGAATAAACTTAATATACCTGTAAAAAGAAAAGAATTCCTCGTTTGACAGCTGTCTGTTGCCAATTTAGGAGACTGTAGGCATCCATACCAACTTCTGTATCACCGCTGGTTTGACTTTCATTCTCGTCCATCGTGCCTCCAAGTGGAATAACAGGAAAGCCATTCAAAGCAGTTAACTGAGTACTACGACGACGTCCCGTTATTTCATCACTCAATGGCCAATTTACTTCATTAGAATCAATCAAAGTAGATTGTTGTGAAGAAGAAACAGAAGAATGAAGCAAAATAACAACAGGTGCAGCTGACTGTGAGCCGTTTGCATTCACTCCTTTAGATTGTGTTTCTGATGCACCCTGACGTAGACTAGCAATCCAACGCTGAACTACACGGCGACAGTTGGTTGCATCTGATTCAACACGTGTCTCAAAAGCTAACGTACCTGGAGGGAATATCTCGTTTACAGACGGAGGGAATAACTTGACACGTTGTCTTTCATACAATGCACTCAAATCAGGTAGTTGATTAACTTTAGCACTATCAGTTATACAAACATAACCACATTTAGTCCATGGTACAACCAAGAGGTAAAGCTAAAAATAAATAAAATATTTCAAATATAAACATATATAAAGCAAGGTTCTTAAAGTTTATGAGGTGTTGTAGTAGTCAAAAGCAACCATATTTTACAAGGAAAAACTATCTGAAAACAGACTCGTACCTAGCTGGTACACGAAGATATAAAAATAATATACGATCTCTTTTGGGACAAATGATTCTCTGTAATCAAATAACCTGTTCTGAAGAAGGGATAATCATATGAGTGTCTCACACATTAAAAAGTATTACAACAGATTAATTATGAGGTCTGCATTGAAACAGTATATAGGGATCTACGACATATAGGTCCAAGGGCGAATGCGAATGTCAATTCATTCGTTGAAGTTTCAATTATTAAGCGATATTATTACAAGTTTTCGCATTACAAAAGGTGTGGCTTTTCATCAAGCACGAAAGTTTCTGTAGTTGCTAGTACCAATCGAAAACTGCTACAAATTATCGTGGTTCATGGTCAGGTTGACGTGCAATTATACAGTAGCCGAGTCTTAATGTAACTGATAAACCAAACTAAGTAGTAATATCTGACCTTTAAAGGCAAGCACTAAGACAGTGGCTTTAAACAAGAAATATCGTAAGGCGCCTAAGAAGGTGAACTTATTTCACTTTCCTAGCATGTTAAAAAGTGCTTAGTGACTTGTTACGCCACAATCTCCTGTTATTTATTTTTGGATGCTATAACCATGTGGACAGCCAGTCATTGCAGGTTCCGTAAACTTTTCCACAGGGCAGATGAAAAATAATGCGTTGTCATATATGATATTAATATTATTCAACAACTAATTGATTCTTACTGGCTTGGAAGTGAATCAAATCAAGTATTTGGGAACTGGTTCCAATCCCTCTCCGGTTTAATATAAGAAAACAGAAACATTTATATTTTTTAAAATTTTTTTTGATTACAGCTTGATTCCACACAGTACTTTTTGGTAGAAGTATGGAATTTTCAGCATGTGATATCGGTAGCTCAAATTTCGCAGGCCGACCATAGACATCAGGTGTGCGTCGGCGGGGTCTCAAACCCCGGACCATATGCATGGTCGGCGAGAGTCCTATTCATTGCGCCACCGACTAAGTTGTGTCTAATCTACGACTAGTACGACATATGTTACAAACTCATTACAAGTAAACCACAATCACTAAAATCAATACATCTGCAGAGATATTAGGTGAGAATGCAGACAGTGGTTGTTAAAATAACGACTCCAATATGGCAGCATACATACGAGGGGAATGCCTCATTTAGCACAACAAACGTTATTGAAACTATCTCCAAAATGCCAAAACACCCTACGGCTGATTTAGTTCCACGTCGCTTGAAGGTATATATATATAGTTAATACAATACTGATCTTATTCAAGGTAGCGGGAAACCAAATGAAACATACCTGTCTTTGTGAATCCTTCTTTGTTATTTGTTGTCCTACTGAAGGTAACTGATAATGAAATAAGAACACACGTCGTAGTACATGCCCAGAGAGATAAGGATGCTGAGCTAAGGAGCAAAAGCGTAGTTGATCCAAATTGAAACTTGCATCGTCTGAATGTAAAACTGATTGATTCGTTTCTTTGAAAGCATCTCGATCAACTGTACATAAACAGCCTAATTTCATAAGGATGCGAAATAAACTTGGAACGCTAAGTTCGTACACACCTTCAATATCGGGTCTAGCTAGATCTGTAACTATTTCTGAAGCGTGTTCAATATAAACATCTTCAGGGACATTATATTCATATAAGTGATATACCGTGTGATTTCTAGGAAGGATACGGCCACTTGAACCTGTAGAATCTTTAATTTTTGTTGTAATCCCAGAAACTTTACGATATAATGGACCAGAATCATTTGGTTTCGCAGTACGTAAATTGACATAAAAAGTTCGGGAGACCATTAAATTTATAGCATGTAGTGTGGGGACTATTCCAGATTCCGGTCCACTGATTAAAACCCACAGTGTGTAACGACCCAACTGTCCAGGATCGGGAACAATTTCGATTACCTTAGTGGAAATGAAAAGGCAGCAATAGTACCAAATACTAGATTTATTCAATTCGGAGGTCATAGCACGATGATGAGAGACAGTGTATAAAAATAAATGATTCTGAAAACAAACACATCAATCTTTTATTTATAAAAAAGGATACATTTAATTCACGACAGTAACAGGATTAAACTTAACCCGTACATTGTTATCGAGATTAACTGTCATCAATGTAGGAGAAGAGTGTTTGGGTATAATTCCATAATAGGTAAGCTTTTGTGGCGGCCTGCTTAAATCACTGGGCTACCTATATGTATCGTGTTTACTCCAATTTGCTATTTCTTAATCATACAACTGCGGCTGAGGATCGCGATGTATACTCAGGCACATTTGCAAGTAAGTTTCAACTTATAGCTACGAATTTTCTGATGAAAATGGAGGGAAAACATTGTAAACTATTGAAGAGTGCCTCGGATAAAACAAAATCGATCCAGTTGATATATTGTCATTTATTGTATTGAAGGTTCATTACAAGGAGTAGTACCGTTCGAAAGTATGAACAGCTGGATAACGTTTCCATATGATTATGAGCAATAAATTATGTTCAAAACATTATCCAGTTATTAATACTGTAACACTGTGTGTTATATCAAATTTATCTAGGATAAAACTAAACTGTCATCCTCCTAATAAATACAAGGTTTACAATGATGAAAAGTGAATAAAAAACGTTATTTTGAATTTGATAGGACGTATAAGCTTGTAATTTTGTTAGCTAAGATCACAACAAATTAATTACTAATAACGCAATTCCAGTACCATCTTTGTGTGACCAACTAAACTCAATTCATAGGGCACCCAAGTAACAAATGATCTACCTTGGTGACCATATTCAAAACTTGACAATGATCATTCTCTAGTGACCAATCAATGAACCACAGGCTTTATGGATTACTACTTTGATTCGCCCTGACTAACACTATTTCCCAACCTGCTCCCAATACACACAATAGTGCTTGCATAAGCAAGCTGCCTAACTCGGTGAAAATTCACTACCTCAGTGACTAATTAACGTTCCTTCTCGGACAACCTGTATCTAGCAGCAAAACTACTTCTCATATGGTTCCACTTAACGCGAACAAAGGAAATAAGATACCCATGATAAAAACTTGTAATCTTATCATACATTCCGATCTTAGCAATTGCCCGAAAGTCGTAGACCTGGACATGGTGAACTACAAAGCATCCCATTTTTCTGGAAGCACCAAATATCACATAAAATAGGAAATATTTAATAAGCTTTATGTATGCACGACCGAATTTCGTCAAAAATGTGCTGTTAGGGCTGACGCAGCTTTAAAAATAAGTGAACCAACTCATTAGCCCACTTTGTCCCCTATCTTTGAAGTAGACGCAAAAATCTTACATTTATCCTCCTGGTAGAAAATTAATAACAACACGGTGGGTTCACCGTTAACTTCATCCTAACCGTAACCAGACGAGAATACTTACTTTCCCATGTTAGAATTTAGCGATTGTCAGGTGTAGATTTTTGTCCAAACAAAGAGTTGGTTCGTCGAATTCCCAGACTGCTTTCCCAACCGGTTCGGCCCTCAATATTAGTATTAAAAACAGCTGCTTATGAGTTACATTCAAACATCAGATTTCTCACAACACATTTGACAGTTTGTCAGTAATTTTAAAAAACTAAAGATGGTGTCCACTGACATTTGTTAGCAATGAAGGAGAACTAGGGTATTAAGAGCGAATAAGATGAGTATAGAATATACAAGCGTGAGGAGAATATATGATTAACGTTTTGTGTGCTGATAGACGACTGTAAATCGTGAGTTCTTCCCAAATGTCTATACTGTGGTAACTGGAGTCATTATTGTTATCATTACTTAGACATATCCTACAATATGGGCATGAAAAGATGTTCCACAGAAAAGGCAATAAAACACAACATGTAGAAAAGAGACACAATAATTGAAAAATAGGATCACAGAAAACACGCAAATATACTAATCAAGAACACTTAGAGGGTATTTTTTAAATTATGAGAAAAATCGTTGTAACTCTTCAATGAAACTACTTAGAAAGAAAGCAAAATTAGCGAAAAAAAACTATTTACCTGCCACACCGCTGTGAATAGGTTGAGTCGAGTTTGGTTTAAATACCTGGCCATACCGCATTGTCGTTTAGAAATTGGTAGCAATGACAAGCTACTTTCAAAGTCGGAGTTGCACTTTGTTTTGTCTTTGTGTTTGATATAATATTGACGCTGTTCATGTTGTATACGCCACTTGGCTTGATGAAACTCCAACCACTTAGCAAGTTTTTTTGGAGTATTTGCCTCATCCAAACTTGGAGGTTCACCTAACTGCTCACGCCACGGCTTTGGTGGACCACTAGGTGACATGAGTTGCCTATTGGGCATATGACGAGTTAAAACAGATCCGTTAAACTTCACATTTTCGTCTTTAGTTGAGCCTATTTCTTCCAATTCCGGTAATTGTGTTAGCTGCCCCTCTAGAGGTTGCTCCTTTACTAGGCTGTTGGGAACGAACATTTCCGTCAACCTGCGTTGTTTGCATGTATCTGTTTTCTCCGCCAACTTGCGAAGTAACCAATCAGGGTGAGTAACCCTCGGCACTGGATTAGGAACTTGTTGTAAAGCTGCTGGGATTGTAATGATTTTCTGTATTGTGCTAGACAGGCGTTCAATGTAATATGACCAGTCAAGTATTTCACGCAAATCAGTATGTTCATCAAGGTTGGAATCCTTAAGCCATTTTTGAAGATAATGACGTTTTACTGAAGGTTCTGCCTATAAAAATGGAAGAACTCATTATATCTAAACAATATTTAACTTAATTTTCCATCAATTACCGTAGGAAATACAATTCGAAGAGAGTGCATGCATCGAAGATATTAGAATACGCGTTTATAGAATTCTAATAAGATGATAAGTATGATGAAATTAATGATAATCTAATTGTTATGATCCGCTAGGCATTTTATTACTTCATATAGACTGCCCCACTCCGACGATGGTGTCAATAAAGATATAAAGGCCACGTAAGGCGCGCCATAGTCGAGACAACCCGAAGTCGATTCAAAGTGAGTCGCGAAAGCGGATCCTCGGACTAATGGTTAATCAGCACCAAAAACTAGACAGCATAACACTGGTTGACAGTCATTGTCTAACGAAACATTTGAAAACTAATCACACGTTATTTTAAAAAGACAATGCTCAGAAATTATTTCCTATTTCTCCATCTAGGCTGTGGTATGAACGTCACAAATTCCAAATGTCTGGCTGGAAAGCAAAATATGCAAATGTAGAACCTCTAGCTAAGACCGTACTTCCAAGTCATATATATATATATATTGTAGAAAAGTTGGTAAATAAAAAAATGCATTCCACTCAAAAGAATTTATGAAATTGATGTGCACATTACCTGGAATATAGCCAACGGAATCGCTCTTTCAGTTACTGGTGCACCTTCCGGTTGTCGTGCTATAATGTAACGACAAGATAAACCTGCATCTTTAACAATTTGATCCCCTAGAAACTCAGCCATTCGCCTAGCAGTACTCAATGAAGTTGACTTTTGACTTCCATAATCTTCCAGTCGCCTAGACATACTTCGATTTTCTGAAATTAGATCAAATAATTCTGAATCTGGCATATCAGCTCCTTTAGAATAAAGTACATCCAACCAGTGATCAGCAACATTAGCCACTGCTGAATAAACTTCAACCAAACTATCACCACGTAAAAATGCCTCAAACACAGAGGACTGAAATATTTTTATGAGTTGTAATTCGCCGTTTCGTTTAATCTCAAATCCTTTTAATTCGGCTAAGCTGCCATCAAAATTAAAAACAGCATAACGCTTCTTTAGACGTTTCCCCTCTTCTTTAGCTGCAGGTAAAACCATAGCTTTGTAAGGCCCATCAACTTCAAAAAATATGGAATTTTCAGAACGAACTTTGTAAGTTAGTGTTTGCTGATCAACCAGCTCATGATATTGATGATTTGTGAAAAAGTCTTGCACCATTATATTCAATACAGCTCCAGGATAAGAAATAGACAAACGAGAAGGCTTCGAACCAGTAGTAGTAAATTCAATGTTTTGCGGAAAACTTGCAGGAAGGATACACCATATACCATCAGTATCCAGTTCCAACGCACGACCGATCTACAAGAAACAAGAGTTCAGGGTAAAAATAAATTAAGTTAGTACTTGATAAGCGGATTACAACTAATACTTTTAGCAAAATAGGGTACACAAAAAGATGCACAACGCTTGTAGTTGGTGCATGGGGAAAGTGCCGAAGAAATATATAGTGCGCATCGAAGATTTATCCTTACTTACTGAACAGATCGTTACATTGATACAGTGAAGAAACACTTATCAAGCGACACTTCAGTGATAAAGTTTACTGCAGCGAGCTGGAAGAACCACAGCTGCACTCAGCATGAAGGTTGTTACACGTAACAAAATATTGTTATGACTAAACAGTACAGTATAGTAATAGTATGGGGCATAGTAAACGCTGGTGCTAACGCTCATTACTTACTATACTATCGTATAACTTCAAACCTTGTGTAATTCACAGCGTTGCAAAACGAATAATTGTGTCATGGCTTTTTGTTGTAAACTTCCTACGATAATAGAAGCTGAGAGCCACGCATGCCAACAACTAGGATTTTAACTCAATTGAAGATACTTAGTCCACCGACCGATGGCTGGTATATCGCAATGACTGAACGAGCTATACTGATGCAGGTGCTGATTTGCCAGTAAAGCTGGTTAGAGGGAGGTTAAACCAATGATTAAATGTGTCGTCTACTTATTTGGGGAGTTGCATAATATCGAATGGGGTGGTCACTGACGAAATATCAGACACATACAAAAGTTTTGTTTGGCATTTGTCAGTTTGCATAAACTTTGCCGCAGCTGAGTTATATTGTCTTCTTTTCATTTTAAGAATAATAACATCGAGCCTTTGAAATAAGTGCAAGGAAAAAAATGAGGGAAAAAATGTTTACGTACCTTTAAGATTAGATTGCATTTAAGAGAAGAAACGATTGGGAATCATTTAAATAGTTCACTTATTGAACCCTACTTATACCAGTAAAGAAAAAAATTCGTACTGTACAATAAAGTAACAAACTTTCTATACAAAAACTGGTCTTGTTTAAAGCAACTAACCTGTTCGATAATTTCTCTTGACTTAGTTATAATATTTGCACCAGTATGACAGACAATACCAGCCATTTCCATTGAATACCAACGTGCACCACGTCGCATTACATAACCATAAAAGGAGTTTAATATGCATTTGTGCGCTAGCTGAAGACTGTCATATAGTACAAGCATTGCATTGGCTTCTTTGACAGCATTTGAATCACCTGTACCAGCCAAGAGAGCGGCACATGCATCATCATAATGACGTTTCCATGTCTATAGAAAGTGACAGTTTATGATATGAATTCGATTGTGAAAGTACAATGATAAAGAATAAATACTGTTATTGAATTTATTAGCTTAAAGGAAACAATTCAAAAGCAGGAAGAAACTGAAACACCACTTGTCTTGTGCGGAAACATTCAGACCTTATGGTCATTATATACCCCGCTAACCAATATCTTCTAATCTTACTAGCAACATTCCTTATAGTTCATTTCATCTGTCAAGAGTTTGATGAGTTGAGGTCAACTTTAAATGTGCGGTCGCCTTAGTGTTATAACAACTTAGGATTTTTAATTATTTTATACATAAGTGTTGTCATTTGTTTTCATAAGCAGATACTATATGCTGACGTTAAAATTTACTTTTGAGAAAAACGTCAATTGGAACTACCTCTAGTTTATTTATGCTTTTTTTTACTTTAATTAAAGCTTGATTCAACACAGTATTTTGGTACAAGTAAGGAATTTCTAGCATGTGATATCGGTAGTCTAAATTTCGCAGGTCGACTATGTATACCAAGTGTGAGTCGGCCGGGGATCGAACTCCGGATCATGTGCATGGTCAGCGAGCGTCCTAACCGCTGTGCCACCGTATCATCTGAAGAAAGGTCAAGGACTAGCAATCTTAGTAACTTAAGAATGCGAATAAGTAGCATATTTCCTCACAAGACCAAGGAGAATCTATGTAGCCATCCGTTTCTAGCAGTCACAGAGACTTTCAAAATACTATCACTCCTACTTTGCAGAATGATACTAACAGAAGACATACAAAAGTTGCAACGTGATTACAAATGCTTTCTATTTTCAAGCATATCTGATACCGATTTGTCACCCGACAGAAAGCTGCTACCTTGACGTGGTGGTCGGGCTTGAACACCGCAATGACCCAACAAGCTATACTGGCTGAGACTTATGTCTCTTGAGGTGCTACCATGCCAGAAAGGTTGTTTGGATAGCGGTTAAACAAAAAGCAGCTACCCAAGCCAACATTATGATAAATACAAAACCACAAAATTTCATGCCGGATCGGCCGTGGCCCGGATTAACAACGACCGCGCTTCCTGCTGCCGTGTCACAGGGCAGGAGTGATAAGTATGCTACTGAGGCACACCAAACAATAAAGAACAAACAAAAACAGGCCACGTGTGACCGGCCTCAAGCAGTTGTCCCCTGGGCTCTGCGGTCACGCAACCAACTTCCACGGTGTGGGCAGCCGGGAAGTAACAATCGCCCTCACAATCCGAAATGCACACGAAACCTCTCTAATCCTCACTCATCTTTGTCTTCATCTTCATCTCTATTATCTTGCCTTCTTTCCACTGATGCAACTCCTCTACTTGATAGCTCTTCACTTCCTCTTCACTCTGTGTCCACTAAAAACGACGGAGGCCAAAAAACCACCACCGATAGTCTCCTAAAGCCACGCCACCAATTTCATATAGGAGCACTTAATGTTAGGACACTTTGCCAAATAGGACAACAAACATCACTAGCTAAGACTCTGGCATCCCGAGCCATTGATGTATGTTGTGTTTCAGAAACACGCATACAAGACCCAAGTGTGGTTATTCACCTAACCCCACCTGGCCAACAGGATGAATCTGAAAAATTCACCTTGAGGGTGTCAGGAGATGCCACAGCCAGTTCACGAGGATTAGCTGGCGTAGGGATAGTTTTAAGTACTAGGGCAGAAATGACATTGCTTGACTAGATCTCGGTAGATAGCCGAATGTGTGCTGTCCGTCTGAACGGATCAGTAAGAAGGAGAAAAGACTGCACTACTCGCCGATGCCTTTTCGTAATCTCCGCCTACGCCCCCACTGACTGCAGTTCAGATGAAACGAAGGATGAGTTCTACCAAAAGCTGTCTAGTTTGGTGGGAAAGACTAAACGCTCAGACATAGTCGTTCTAGCTGGTGACTTTTACGCTCAAGTAGGGAAATTGTGTCAATCTGAGAAGGATGGCGGTGGCATTTATGGAGTTCCGTGCCAGCGAACCGACAACGGTGACCGTCTCCTACAGTTCTGCTCTGATAATCATTTGTTTCTTGTAAGCACTAACTTTAAACACAAGGAGAGACACTGTTTAACCTGGCGACCCCCATCATCAAACCAACGCTGGACACAAATAGACCACATAGCAATAAGCTATCGTTGGCGTGGGTCGGTAGGAGATTGTCGCTCCTTCTGGAACACGTGTGTAGATACCGATCACGCACTGGTCCGGGCTCGTGTGTGCTTACGACTGAACGGACGTAGGAAACAGCTGGCGGTAAAACCATCACGTCCCCAGCTCGATCAGGAAACTAAATCCCTATTCGAGGAAGAACAGTGGTGGCTGACAAAGGCAAAAGAGATGGAAAAAGCATCGATGATAGGCAACACTAGGCAACTCTTTAGACTCATCAGGGAAACGGGTGGGAGAAGGCAAATCATAAGTGAGACTATTTCTGAGAAAAATGGCTCCTTAATTAGCTCTCAGGATAGACGCCTTGAACGCTGGGAAGAACACTTTGAGGGACAATTTAACTTACCTACAGCCACACTGAACCTCCCCGACATCCAGCACACACCCGAATGGGATATAGAAACTGGTCCGCCGTCTGTAAGTGAGGTCACAAAAGCTATCAGTAACTTGAAACGAGGCAAAGCGGCTTTTCTTGTACTTTCTTCTCTTGCTTCGCGTGCTACACGGAATGTGGCGACTTGAACTTCCGCACATTTGTGCAAAGTTCTATGTCGAAAACAGACAGACAGACAAAGCGGCAGAACCCGACGGAATTATTCCGGAGGTGTTTAAATATGGGGGTGACATACTAGTTTGTAGATTAACTGAGGTACTAGGCAAAGTCTGGGAATCAGAGACAGTGCCATCAGACTGGGGTAAGTCACTTATTATACCGATATTCAAGAAGGGAAACAAGTCCTCGTGTGATAATCATAGGGGGATCAGCCTAACGAACATAGTCTCTAAAATCCTAGGCTCAGTAATCATGCATAGACTAAGCAGAACTCGGGAGGAACAGACAAGGGAAAATCAAGCAGGCTTTAGACCAGGTAGAGGGTGCATAGATCATATCTTCACTCTTCGACAGATTCTAGAACATAGACACACTTTTCGGCGTCCAACAATTGTCATATTTCTTGACTTGAAGGCGGCCTTCGACTCCGTGGATCGAAAGGTACTATGGCAATGTCTGACTGTGAAGGGAGTGCCAAGAAAGTACATTGCACTAATCAAGGCACTCTATTCAAACTCACGTAGTCGTGTAAGGGCTTATGGGGAATTGTCATCTGAATTGGTAACAACCAGTGGTGTCCGACAGGGATGTCCACTTTCCCCATTTCTGTTTAACTTCATCATAGATATGCTGATGGAAGTATCCTTAACTGAACGTAATGACTTAGGAATCGACTTGTTACCAGGGAATAGTCTTATGGACTTAGAATATGCAGATGACATAGTCCTGTTAGGGGAGGATGCTGACAAAATGCAGAGTCTTCTGAACACCTTGAGCAGCAATCTTCGTATGTTTGGCATGCGATTCGCCCCTACAAAATGTAAGATGCTGCTACAGGACTGGACCACGTCAACTCCTAACTTAGTGATAGGGAGTGAAGTGATAGAACATGTTGACCACTTCACCTATTTGGGAAGTTGTATTAGCACCAACGGACTGATTGGCGATGAAATCTCAGCACGGATCCGAAAAGCTCGAGCTGCTTTCGCTGACTTACACCATCTCTGGCGTAGGCGTGACATCCGGTTATCAACCAAGGGACGTGTGTACTGCTCATCAGTTCGCTCCGTCCTTCTCTATGGCTCTGAAACATGGCCAATACGAGTTGAAGACATGAAAAGGTTGACTGCTTTCGATCATAGATGTCTGCGATCTCTGTCTCACGTTAGGTGGTTTAATAAGGTAAGTAATGTTGACGTTAGGCGTAGAGTGTTGGGCAAAGAGGGAAAATCAATCGACGAGGCTATAAAGTTACATAGACTAAGATGGCTAGGTCACGTGCTGCGCATGCCTAACCACCGCCTCCCCCGACGGGCATTGCTAGCTGATATAGGTGCAGGTTGGAAAAGAGCCAGTGGTGGCCAAACAAAAACATGGCATCAATCCATGAAATCCTTGACAGTTAAACTGAGTCAGGTAGGGAGATGCAGACTCCCGGGTTGGGGCCCTCGGGACTCTAGGAATCAATGGCTGGAGACAATAGGTGACATGGCTCAAAATCGTTGTCAATGGCGCAGATGTATTCAGTCTCTGTAATCTTTCATATTCCTTTCTACCATTACCCATTCTGTTTCACTCTTATACTTGTCAAACTCTATTGATTCTCTTCACTCATCTTCTTGTCTACCTCTGTGTGCTATTTGGAACGTGGCAACTCGAACTGCTGCACTTCGGTGCCAAGTTCTATGTTGAATCCAGACAGACAACAGTATAGCTATTAGGTGTATTGTGGACAGAGTTTGATAAGACAATTTCCGACAGCTTGAAGTACTCTGTAAGCTAGTTATACATTTAAGCGGCAGTAAGCCACTTTCAAGTGCGTCGGTGGCATAGCGGTTAGGACGCTCGCCGACCATGCACATGGTCCGGGGTTCGATCCCCGGCCACAGACGCACTCCCTTACCTCACTAAGCCAGAAACAATGCTGGTAAAGAGGAAAGGTTGGGCATGAGGCTAGCACACCCATCCTGTAAAATAAACACTGCTACAGAAACTTCAAGCCACTAGCTTGAAGCCCTATGTTCCACTGGGGAACGTGAAGGGAAAAAAAGCGACTTTCAAGTATTTGCATATAAACTTAAATGTTCTTCTGTGTTGTTAAAATTTTGTTTATTTTCTTTTACTGGTAATCGATTTGCACCATTAAGTAATTCATGCCAATGCGTATTAGGTATATTTCTAGAAATTGCATACCATATCTTTAATTTCAAAATGCATTTTCTGAAGGTCGTTTACAAAATGCTAACCTACATGAACATTTGGTCGTCGCCTAGGGGTTCGTTATATTCTGGACAAAAAAGGACATCACTTCTTGTCAGTGCTATGTTAGTGCTAGTTTCCCGGGAAACACAAAATTGATAATAGGGTAGTCCTGTAGAGTGCTATTTACTACGATAGGAGCCATGTTTATTTTGTATATGTATGAAACGACTGGATCGCCTAGGGTTGGACGTAGATCAGTATTTGTCATTTGACATCATAGATCATTGATAAATTTTTGTTATTCCTAATTGTGAAGCTATGGTAATCATGGAACTGATGGAATAATTGAACGTTTGCTATGGTAGTGAAATGCAAATTTTGAGTGTTACATTTTTGAAATATTATTTGTATATGATACAGATAACAATAGTGTTGAAGTAAAACTAGAATATTAAGTGAATAAGGAGAGACTGTGAAAGTTAGTAAAGTGAGGTGGATGGAATGCTTTAGTCATGAAGTAAAGTGTTGTTTTTCAACCTAAGACGACATTAAGTACAGCTCAGGATTAATACATGAATAAATATACTTTTACGGTATTTTGTTCATAGTAATATCTTCATATTTCGCATCTTAAATTGATTTCTTGATCTCTCACTTCTAAATCTTTAGCACTATTTGTATTATTATTTTCTCACTCCCATCTAACATTTTATCGTGACTATCACGATAGGCACTCGGAAGTGATAACTGCTAGAGTGCGTCCAGCAGTCTGAAAAACCAGACTACGGATCTTTTAGAGTAAAACAGATCATTAAAGTGGCAAAGCAAGGAGAAGTCATTTAAGATATGACATCCATTAGCACAGGGGTCCTCTAACTGATACTTACTAACTATCTTGTTATGAGAAATAGAGCCTAGAATACACAATAATGTCCGTTGATACCTCGTGAAACCAGAATAGTCCTTCACGCCTACTATGCACAAGGAAGGGAAATAAATTTTGACTGCAGCTAGATAAGTTTTTTTAATGAACAACTATCAGATAACACCTCAGTTTGGAAACTTCCACAATAGTTTACCAGGAACTAAATAACACATCACAGTAACAGCATATTAAGGCGTATGAGTCAGGTGATAGTTTGAGAAATAGGCAATGGGTATTTACCAAATATTTTAAAATGCTTACCTTTGTCAATCCCTTAAATTTATATCGGCGATCACGAAAAGCCTTGACTGTATCAACATAGAACGAATTTTCACGCTGACAGACCATCGCGACTCTTTCCTCAGTCCTAGTTACGTGAATACGTTTATAAGCACGTCGACAAAAGTCAGTCAGTCTCTTTTTCTCTACAAGTGCTTGTTCTTCTTTCGACAATTCATGAAATGCCTTCATGGTGGTTTTTGGAAATTTACCACTTGGGTCCGTTGACTTTATAGGAAAACGTTCTTGAGTAAGCTGAGCTTGAATTCGGTACACTTCAGATCGAGAAGCTGTCCACAATTCGGCGCGCCATGTCCACGGCATGAAACGTTGACACGATATTCCCGGTTTATAAAATTCACACTCAGCACATTTAGTGGCCGAGTCAGAGTCTACAGCTGATGGTTGAAGTCGATTAGTAAGGATTATATTTGGGTACATTGCACCAACATCTAAGTGATATATAACTGGACATTCGATCCTATTTGGTGTGGAAGATAATTGTTGTAATGAACTTTCCACCTGTCCACAAATCTGAAAATACATGAAAATTAGTACAGGAAAGAATTATGGGTAAAAATGCAACGGCGAAATTATTATTATTGATGTGTTAATGAATTAGGTACAAATCTGCTCTTTAACAAGGTCATGTAGCAGCATCCAGGTGAAAATAATACGTAAAAATCCCTTTCAACTGCTCAAACAAACTTAAGGACAGTTGTGAGTTCACTGAATTGTGAAAGGCCTTTCTATAATCAGATTCAGTTTGTAATTTTTATTTGTTATTTCCTTCACTTGAAACATTTCCACAGAGATTAATGATAAATGATTACAACTAAAATAAATTACATGTTCCCGAAAATCTTCATCAAAATCAATTGCAGGGATATGCTAGTTAACAAAAATAAATGAAACTTTAGCCTTAACAGATAAAAATGGGTGCAGTAACGTGGCATTAAAAAGTCGTGATTCAATACAATCAGATATATTTCCACTACATCTACCACTAGCAGATACATAATGGGCTATAATCTGATGTCTTAACCACCTATGAACAAAAGTCAGAGCAACATCGTTTGCTTGAATTGTTAGAAATGTGACTCAGACGACACAGTCTTCATTTGGAAATCACATCGATCTAATTATAGTTAATTTCTTCCTAACTTAAGGCTGAGAGTACTTATATGACGTATTTTTCATTGACATTTTGTGGACATACTCTGCCAGAAAGTAATCTTCATATTTCCACTCAGGTTTCTACAGATTTCTGCGAATTAATCACTTGCATTCCTGACTAGCCAGACACCAACACCGACAGGGTTATACTACTTGAAACAAGAAAAGCATGTTGGTGCGAAATATAGGCTATTATCAGGAAAAAATAAAGTTGGAGGTAAACTCACAAAGTTTTCCCAAACATACCATGTTAAAGTTATCCTTCAATACGACACTAAATAATGCATCTTCGTCTTCAGCGCCTATTTCGGTCTGCAAAGCTCGAGACAAACAGCGTCTAACATCGGCTCTTAATGCCTCTAGGGCTGCAGGGACTAGACGAAACCTGACAGGAATATCAGCCCGAAAAACACCGGCTTCTAAGGCTTCTACATGTCCGCCAACGTAAGTCTCTGAATCAATTAGGCGTCCATCTTCTGTAAATTTCCCTGAGATTCCAGAATTATTTGGCAGCAAGCTATTGATTCCAGAATCACCATCTGTTTGTTTATGGGGAAAGATAACATTCGCTGCATAAGCCTGCACCATTAAAAGTGCTTCGCAGAGTGTTCCAGAGCCTTTACGAAGAACGTCATCAGGATTCAGTGGAAGAATTGTACACAGTGCAAACACAAATGGATGGACATACTTCATGTACAGATAATAAGTGGCAACCGCATCAGACACTGAGTAATTTGCTAATTCTCTCGGCGACTCACGAGCCATGCGGCACATTGCTTCTGGATCGACTTCAATGGGATCATATCTCAGCTTTGCCTTAGCGACAGCTTTTAGACCACGAGCTCCAACTGGAAGATAACTATCACGTTTAACCCAGCATAAACAGTCAATATGAACTGCAGGTCGCGATAAGTACTCACCGGCGGTTCCATCCCTTCCTGGACCTGCAGTACCTTTCTGGCGTGAAAACGCAATTTCTTCGTACATAGAAATACCATAAGCGGCGGCGCGTGCTTCGATAAAGGGCCAGTCAAAGAAATCACCGTTGTAGGTAACCAAAATATTCGGTCGAACTCTTTGAATGTGTTCAAAGAAAAAGGTAATGCACTGCAATTCATTTTGTACATTATGCACAGTGAAATGACCTGGAAATTCTGGTCTTGGAGTATAGTCGAAATCTTCTATGTCCTCTGAAAGTATTTCTCTGTTACATATAAGATGACCGGCTCCGTCTAACATATATGAGATCATAATTATCTGGAAACAAAGTAAAATAACAGTTAAGGATGTTATATTATAAATTAGAATGGTATAAATGAAAGCACATCTATTTGAACATGAATAATCTATCGAATACCTTTAAGCCGAGATAGGAATTGGTTTGAACTAGCGAGCCAGTCGTTAAATACCTGGTGCTTAAGCTAATGAGACATCTCTAATCAATCTTCAAAACAACCCATAGAATGTCACATGGGTACAACATAATAGGACACACATACTCTATAAGAGGTGATAAAATTATTCAGATGTTACAAGTTTCCAATAGCGTTTGCTGTGTAAGTAGCCAGTGATTTGAATAATTTAGTAACCCATGTATGATTGACTAACGAGAACCCTCTATGTAGTGTTCTAATCAGCTTTTAAAGACCTTAATAATTTGTAAGATATAGCTTAATCAGTTTTAAATTTAGTTCTAAAATACGTACATTTTTAAACTCACGAAATATGTAAATGTTAACAAGGAGGAATGCAGAAACAACAATAACCCAGCAGAAACTTGGTAGCAGAGTAAAGTTACAAAGAATTAAGGAATAAAGAAAACCGGAAATGTTGAAATACTCCATGTAACCTACGAGGCTTAGAGCTTCACCAAATAAAACCATTCTCGAATTATTAAGCACATTAAAATTAGTTGGTGAGACACAGGCAGTTTTAACATAACACACCTTCTTAGAATCTACTGAATAATTTATTATAAATAGGTTTGTAATGAATTTTCATAACACAGCTTCAATTACGTTAATCTTGTGATATAGATGCATTTCGAATTTAAGAACAGATACTAAGTAATCAAGTTATTTTCAACAAGCTACTTTCGACATCAACTGAAAGTATCATCATAAACAAATAAAAGAATAATTTTTTATCCATTTTCAGCTAAATACCAGAAATACAAATAGTGGTCTTATCATTTTATTTCCAAGTTTTTACATCCCACAGAAAGTATGAGAAACTGTCACCCCTGCGCTTAATTTGCAAAACAGTCAGAAGTGATGAAATGATTAACGAGAACTATGGGGATAATAGTAGGAACCAGATGCGCCCTTTGGAGGAAAACGATTAGCGAACTCACCTGAAACACTGCTGAGGTAAGTCTCAGTCCATGGATCTTGACTTAGCACTTCAACCACTGCAAAAATTACGTGTGTTTTCTTAGAACCATAAGCTCTTATTTGATATGTGTATTGTACTTGGGATAAAAAAATATTCGCTTCCAAAGACAAAATAGGGGACACGGATGTTCATATAGCATAGGTGCTTTTGCATCATGTGTGAAGTAGAAATCATTTACTTACTAGTGCGAATACTGCGTCCACCTGATTAACCGATTACGGCTTAGAAATCACAATCAAAATGAGATATCAGTCACTGATATAAGTTTATTAGAAGATAAGCCTGTTTGCTGTTATATATGAATCTTTCCTCTTAATAGCCAGGTGAACCGTTCAACATCATTAGAATTTTCGACTCCAGAAACATGTCTTAAACCTCCTAAGCCAAATGAATATGCACAAGATAGTAAGTAAATCATGTCACTTCTCGGTGATACACGATAAGAAATTATACATTTCGAAATCTCTCAACAGGTAACCAGATAATCTATTAAAGGTCAAACTGTCGTAAATTTTCATTCACAACAAGTTACAATATTTAACGAAAAGATAATCTCTGTTACCGGCATGAGAATATAGACCAAGGCATAACTATAATAAATTACGATTTTAATTAGGTAATTTTAATGAACGAATATTACTACGTATAGGCCTAATTTGTATGATGTAAAAGTGGAACGATCAATCAACTACAGAACATATATCCAACAAACCAACATGAGCAAAATAGCCAAATAAAATACATACCTGATCATTTGCGGCATCCGGAAACTTCAGTGGCATTTTAGTTGTTTCAATGTCAAAAGCTAGAACTACAGGTTCAGGCCAGGCTACTGTATCTTCATGACGCCTGATTTCCGGAGGTCGGCCAGGATTGCAAATAGTTGCATACCAGCACCCAGCAAATATATTCATATCAATGCACACACGAGTTAAGTAAGGCACATCAGACTCTCTTAAGTCAAATAAGTTGTCGAAAGGATCACTACGATTTTGCTTGACATTAGCCTGATTGACAACAGTTCCAGACTCCAAGTTATTGAAGTGTTCAGCAAGCATGTCTGTATAGGAGGATTCTGAAGAAGCCAGTTCGCGATTTGCACGAATGCGTACTGATAATTCTCGACGAACACGAACCAACTCATCTACACTGTAAAACAACATTTTTAGGTATGTGGCTTTGATTCCAACCAAGTGATTTGGAAGATCAAGATCCTCTTTGGACACAGTTTCAATGCCTGCAAGGCGACCTGAGAACCTCCTCAATAAATAAGTGTTAGCGTCGCGTTCGGCTACTTCTCCGCCACGAACCAATACATAAAAGTACGGGGGGTAGGATCTTGTTACCTTGAAGCGGCTACCATCTGCTTGTATGAAGTAGAAGTCTACAGCACTAACTAGCCTTTTTGACTCATCCAGTATATCTGTCGGGTGCATGTTTACAAGCCAACCAAGTCGTTCACCAGGCCCTACAAATGTCTCAAAACCGTACCGCCGATCCGCTAATTCGTTAGCCTTTGCCCGCAGAAATCTGTATTCATTTGACTCGCTTAGGGCAGCCTCAGCATTCAGAGGCTGATTTGAGTCATTTTTTGACTCCACATGGCGCAAATCATTTTCTTCTTTCTTAAAAGGTCGTGGAGCGAAGCCTCTGCGATTCCGACTGACAGACATTACTCAAAAATCTAATGCGGACCGGATCCTTCAACTCCGCACTACAACCTTCGTAAATCGAAGAGGCTACAATGTAGTCTTCAAGGACAACCTTGACTATATTGTAGTAAAAGATAAATGTCTTTTGAAATCTTCTGTCAACTATGTCCATTATTCAAAAGAAACAACAGAGGAGAAATTTGACTGTGTGAACCTTCTTCCTATAATGTGGTCTTGTTCATTTATCTGTGAAAACTAAAATATCACTCCCCCTTATTGCAATTTGTAAGGATTCATGTATTGTTTCAGACAGTAAATGAAGAGCTTTTGTCAGAGGCTTGGCTACAGAAGTGAATTAGACTGATAAACAGTTATGGTATCCATCAAAAATTAAGGATCTGCATGTGTAAATTGGGCTTCCCTAAACAAAGGGTGTCGCATGATTGCAGAAAACATTAAGTTCTTTTTCTGCGAGGTTACTGAGGCTCCGAAATCCCAGACAAAATAATAGTAACAAATGAAATTATCCCTATCAGAACCACGGAGTTTGATGGGATGATTAGCACTGTAGACCTCAGCATCTGATAGAAAAAATCTAGACGCACGTCAAATGTCATCAAGTCTGCAGCTCTTGACGAGAACAACAGGCGTAATATCCGCTTGACTAAACGTGGAGGACAAAAGCCAGACTATCTACTATTTGGTTGTGAAGGAATGCCATGGGAATTTATCAATCGGCTGAATTCGAATGTGATAACGTCAGCTGCCAAATGATTCGGTTCTTGTGAAAATTAAAACTCAGAAAAGATAGTTCATAGGCTTGAACTGTTGTGAGAGTTTCAAAATCGTCAACATAAGAGCTTGGTTTCAAATACAAACTTTAGAGAACTCAGACTTCAGCTAATATCCAGCTCTAATAGATAGGTGCAATATGAAGGTGTTTAGGGACCAAGTGGTTGGTTCAGGCAAACCTATCCCGGAGATCGCAAGCTTATGATAATACTTATTACATGTCTTGGCTCAGAAAAAATGCGCTGGTCAGAAAGGATGTGCTAATAGTTATTCTAGTGATGAACCGCGTGAAAATTTAGAGATAGCTGAAGCTTGCTGAAGCCAATCTTTACACAGCCTTGCTAGGACCCTTGAAACTTCCTCTAGAAACTAATCTAGTCACACCTTTGTATAAGCTGAAAAACAGTCCAGGAAAACCTCTGGAAGACGTAGACTGAAGACCATCAAGTCTCAATTAGCGAAATGGAAAACTACACATTTCTTGAAAAGACTAGCAATGAAGTAGGTTTGTGAATGGCAGTTGTCAATGGAGTTGAAGATTGAACGATCAATTCACGGTTGTTTGCTCAAAATCAACTTCCCCAATTTTCGCGGAGGCATCAATACGACAGTCATCGTCTCATTGGTCGCTGTTCAGAAAGAAGAGTGAAACATCGTCGGAAATCTTAGTTCACTTATTCTTTTTATATGTTGGTGTAACAATAAAGAAATCTCAAGCGGCAGATCGGTGTTTTGGTTTTTCGTCCGTTATAACTAAGCGTTTCTGAAATCTTCAAGGAACAGCGTGGGCCCGAGCATAGCGAGAGCTGGGCATTAACGGTTTATGAGAGGTGATTGACAGCAGTATTGCATTAACTGGTAAAATGTTAAGTGAACAACCTTAACCTATTCCACGTACTACATTAAATCGGCATCTTTACGTTGTGTAGATTCAGAGTAACGACTTGTCAACCGGTTTCAAGCAAGATCTTAGTGTGGGTCAAGTCTAAACCTGCCAGTGATAGTAAAAAGCACTCGATCGAAAACTTTGGACATTCGTCCAGATAGTAGATCAATCGAATCGACATTCCTGAAGAAGAATGATGTAGGGTTTCCAAGAAACTGAAAGGTACAGTCATTCAGTATGACATGGGTATTCGGGCAAGAACCGTTACTTCCTTATAATTCGTAAGGCTTTCTCTGTCTCTTGACTGACAGGCGTCCTCCAGGGTTTGACTAGGTTTTAAGGCTTCACTTTCCAGCTGCCATGAGTCCTAAAATGAGCGTTCAAATAGTACAAGCCTCTTCTCTCATAATATCTATAAATACACAGTGCTTATTTTACGACAAGGTGACTTCAACCAATAGTGTCAGTTGGGTGTATAAGAGGCACACCACCAATCCGTCTTGAGATTTCAACAGCCCCATGAAATGCTGCTAAATCTTTATATAGAAGCTCACGAAAGAATAAGAAGAGATAGTGGAGAATACCTATCACCGCAAGAAGTTATCAACTGTAAAATAAGATGAGATGTGCCAGGAACACTCAGCTTCCTAAAAATAGGGTTAAACGGAAGATTGTATTAAACGTTGACAAGGAATGAGAAAGGTTTGAATGAAAGTTTACATAGAAAGAAATGATAGCTAATATATTTTGTATGATACGAGGTTAAGTTTGCAGTGCAAGAGTTCACAGAAAGAAACAGACACGAAATTGAAGAGCTATGGTTTCAGCAAGCTATGAAATAGAGCCGTTAGCGTTATACACACTGTATATTTTCCACCCGTTAGAGGCAGAAAACAAGCACGCTGTCAGTCACGTCTCGTGAACCGTCAATGCCCAGCTCTTGCTACGCTGGGACTCACGCTGTTCCATGCAGTTTCTCAGAAACGCTTAGTAATAACGGACGCGAAAACCAAAACTCGGATTGGCCACTCCAGAATTCTTTATTGTAACACCAACATATAAAAAATGTTATCATTAAGGTCTGTGAAAAAATATTACAATAATAAATCACAATATTACTTCTGACGATGTTTCACTCTTCTTCCTGAACAGCAACCAATGAGACGATGACTGTCGTATTGATGCCTCCGCGTAAATTGGGGAAGTTGGTTTTGAGCAAACAACCAAGAATTGATCGTTCAATCTTCAACTGCATTGACACTCCCCGGCAAAAAAGGGATCCAACCCTTTTTTCCTTCACGAACAATACACGTTGACTTGGATGCCATTGCGAGAACCTGCGTCACTCGGACAGAGCTGAAACGGAAAACAAACAGAAAAGCCAACACACCACAAGCATACCCACAGCACAATCTCACACATCAATGACGACCTGCGCCTTCCAGTTAAAGGCATCCTCTTGACACATCCTCTTGCATCACAATCGCCACTTACTAGAATGACTCTTGCAGAATTCAACGTGACCATGGCAGCACCTCACGATACTCTACGCACATCCTCTTATCTACTCACTACCAATTACCACTGAAATCGCTTGTCACTAATTCTGGCTCAATTCTAGTAGCGGTGACGCATGCGAGCTTCAGTCGTTTACACTCTTTCTCCCCGGCGTGTCGGACCGCAGCTAACAATTATCTCCGTATGCATTTAATTCTCAGCAATAGCCTCCCCAGCGTATACGACCCATCTGCTGTCTCTAACATCAATCAATTCATTCACGGGTGTAGAAGACTCTTAACAACTTTAGAAGTAATCATGACGAAAATTTTAACAAAATTATGCAAAAACAACAAGATATAAAGACAAAAAGTGAACACAATGAATCCAAAATACACCAATTGATATGACACACCACACATATATACAAACAGTACACACAAACTCGCGGACCACATCTTGATGGAATTCCTTTGAAGAATCGCAGGACTTACACCAGTACGCCTACATCCCTTCTCAGGTTGATGATCCAAGTGGAAGTCGTCCGGACACAAACAGAATTACCAACAGATAGATGACAGATGATATCAATTCAGTATATACAACATGAACATATGTACAAAATCACACACCCAGCACATTGGACTGCTCATTGATGCGCTACCCTTTGAAGAATTGTAGGACTTACAGCAGTACGCCTACAACCCTTCTCAGGTTGACGCCCTAGGTTGGAAAATCGTCGCAGAGTTCATTTGCTGACCTCCTCCTATCAGTTATATCTTCAAATCTGAACGGCAATACGCTCATGTCATTGTATCGTAGAATATAGATGACCAACAAACACACGACATATCTCATCAACCAAGTGTAGAAACAGAGTAATTTACACCAAAGATAATAACATTCAAATAGTAACTTGAAACTAGAAATGCCTTTATTCGTGCAAGTCAATTTAACAATTACTCTCTCGTTTACACTTGGCTTATCCTTACTAAACTGAGCAATATCTTTCGTCTTTTTAAATGCACCAATACTATCATAGTCATTGCACAAGATACTTGAGTTGATGGGCGTCTGTTTCATTGTGGATGAAAATACAAACGACAACTGATTGATACCAGTTGATGAAGTTGGCGGTGGATCAAAAGCTGTTGTTGCTCGGCTTTCAGAAATTTGTCTACCTGCAAGACCACCACCACTGGTGTCTTTTACTATCAGCTCAGGTTTAGCACTAGCATCTGATGATAGGTGGGCTACATGCTGATCAATCACACAGACGGTCTCACAAGTACGCATGCCTTCTGCAACTGCATCTGCATTTATTTCTACTTCACGTTCAAGTTCGACAGAAACTTTATTTAACTTAGCAGTAGTAGGTTTTCCCTCCATTTCATCATGATCAACGAATGACAAATCAACACTATCATCATCAATATCACAAATATTCAATTTACCGTCAAGTTCATCATTTTCAAACTCTTTAATAACAGAAGTAGACAATTTTGGTTCCTCCTCACAAATAATTGAATGTTTTAGATCATCACTCTGACTAGTTATACTTTGTAAACTTGTAGGGTCAGAACTGCACTCTGAAGCAGTAACTCTATTCTGTGACACTCTATTCAACAATGGCTTACCAGTTGTAACTACAGACTTCTTCACCGCACCGTTATCGTCACACAATTCGGAGTCAGGCCCGGAGTTTACATTTAGCTTATCACTGAACTTGCTCACTGGTTCACAGTTCACCTTTGTATGCACCTCTTGAAAACGTGTGAAACACAACCGTGTTTGTCTTGCATCTTGCAACTTATCTGTTGAGGATGTACTACGAAACCTGTTACAC